ATGAATGAAAAATGTACCTGCACAGTATCTTTATTTCTAACAGTGCGTTTATTGAGTTTCATTTTTTTGTTTCTTTTTTATCTGACAAATGCGTAGAAGGTGGTTTTACATGTGATCCATGTTTTGACCAATCCAGTAACAATGTGAGCAGGACATTTTAACAGGCTGCAGAAGTTCTGATTGGTTGTAATACTTATTTCGACCAAACCAGTAAGACTTTTTGGAGGCATTAAGCCACAGTCTTTCATACATGGTTGTATTGCAGATACAAAAACCTCTTGAATTGACAAGTAAGCATGTTAAAGTGCTGGTTGAGGTGATTTGAAAAATGTAAAATATTGGCTCTCATTGTAGGCCAGGCTACCGGGTTGAAAACTGCTGTTGTAAATTATTTGAAATGCCAGCTGTCCTTTTGATTTGATGATGAATGGAGTCATTGATATAATCCAGAATTGATGTTGTAACTTATAATACTTTTAACCCTAATACATTTTACCATTTTGCAGGTATCAGGTTTTGCTAAGACACTGAAAAAGCAGTCTGTTTTTTGTGTGTGCTAACAAACCAGTAGCATTTGCTGCTGTATCTGGTGAGTTATGATGAGTTAGTAAGACATATACTTTCTGTAACATGAATCATTCAGTGGTCTATGTTCCCAGGATTGCAATCCGAGATGACATAAATATGTACATATTTGACTGAATATGTTTTTGGATACAAGTAAAATTTCATTCCATGGTGTGAACACAGTGGATTGATTGACATCTCTCCCTCTAGCTGTGTGTGTTCTCGCTCTGTTTTAGGTTCTCTTGACAGTGTGCTTTGATGTATAGTAAATTCTGTTGGTGCTTGTATTCTGTCCCCTCCCTTCATGCAGGAGAGTTCTGTTGGCTCTCAAAGGCTTTTTGTTGTCATGTGGCTGGTGCTTTGTGCAGGTTTAAATAGAGAATGCGGCCCATGAAGGAAAAGGTGCTTCATGGACCACCCGTATACTCCCATCTCAAACACAAACATACTGCGTTCCCACTTCAAAGGAAACTGAACAAACCATCACCACTAGGCCTTCATAGCTGCGCTGTAATTAGTGTTTTTCTGCTTTTGGTTTTTACTCTCAGCCAGTTTGTAAAAAAAATCCCTAAAATAGTTGCTGTTTGGTGGGAAAAGGCTTCTTGGGTTTACTATCAAGAATTAAAAGCCTCGAAAAGCATAATCTGTAGTGTCTATCATGTTCAGGGTGGGCAATACGGCAAAAATACATTACAGTACGTGAAGACATTTTCATGCTGAAGACATTATGATGCATGATACGTATCAAAATCTTAAGTTAAAGCAAATGCCATTAAACTCCATTATACATATCCATACAGTACTGCTACATTTAAAAATGATGTCAAAAGTTACAGGCACAATGTAGGGATTAGTAATATGGCTTAACATTTTTACAATATCACAATTTTATTTTTCTAAGGTTTAACTTAAAAACCAAGAGCCACACTTATAAAACAGTGCTTTTTGTTCAGCATTTCTCATTCTCTGCTGCACCAAATAAAAAAAAAACAAAAAAAAAACATTATGCTTATTATTTTTTTTTTCAATGAAATATGCGGTTTGTCAATAAGGATTTCAACAGTGTGCTTAGAAAGGCATGTTGTCTCATATTGTGATGTAATTTATCATGGTATAAAATACTGTCCTACTGCCCCCCCAGCATGTTATTTATTTATTTATTTATTTATTTATTTATTTTAAATGAGCAAGAATAAGTTAAAAAATAAATAAATACGTAGTTGAACAGGGCCCAAAACTTTGTAGCAGTTAAGTCTGGGTCAAGAAAGAGACCGGGGTGAGTCAAGTGACCCTTATTAGTCCCACTTTTAACCCAAAGTTAAAGCATTTAACCCATCCATGCAGTGAAACACCACATACACACTAGTGAACATACATACTAGGGGGCAGTGAGCACACTTGCCTGGAACGGTGGGCAGCCCTATCCACAGCGCCTGGGGAGCAGTCGGGGGTTAGGTGCCTTGCTCAAGAGCACTTCAGTCACATACTGTCGCCTCATGGGATCGAACTGGTGACCTTCTTGTCACAGGGCTGGTTCCCTCACCTCTAGCCTTGATTGTTTTTCAGATTATAAAAATATAAAGAAGAAATTGGGAAGAACTGAAATTTGATTGTAGTTCATTGTAAAATTTGTTTGTAGTTAATCATTCAAGATATTTTAATAAATAATAGATTTTATAAAACATTTTGTAAAAATATAATGTCCTATAATAATAGCCTTTGTCATCATTGTCGTCCTTTTGGTCCACATTTGTGTTGTGACATTGAGAAGCCCATGATAGTGAGGTTATTCTCTGTTTTCGTCTAAAACTTCAGTCACCACTTAAAGTCAACTGAATAAAAACCAAACAACCATCATGGAGAGGATCAATTAGATCCTTCACCAGCAGCAAAAGAAAGAACATGTAGTTTAAAGAAAGAACTGTTTTATTTAGAAAGAACCATTTCATTCTGCTGTTGTTCAGCAAAGATAGAAGTTTCCGTTTCCAGTTACCGCAGGTGGAGGATCGCGATTGGCTGGTCTCCATAACAATTTCCGAGTCCTTGTTACCCTGAGATGGAGACGAGACCAAGTCACAGTGATATCAGGACCACAAGACAAGACTGAGACGGTTAATTTAGGGTCTTCAGACTGGTCTCGAGACTAAGTACTACAACCCTAGTGATAACGATATCCGATTGTTGTTCTGCCCACTCCTACCACATGTGAACCATTAAACATCTGTCTGATCAGATCAGCAGTTACACCTGTAAAATGCTGTCGTCTTGATAGCAGCGTAATGAGCAGAGTAGAAGGGAGACGCTGTTCTTTGCTCAGCACTCTTATTTTGAAATGCTTTATGCTGAACTTATGAATGGAATCATGAACTGATTGAAGAAAGTCATAATGCTGCAGTCGCACATGCGCTCTCTCCTTCGCCATCCCTCTCGCTTGTTTCATCGCTCTCTCACTCTCTCTCCAGATGGCTATGGAGCTGAGCCAAATAGGCTCTCTGCCTCTGTCGTTCTCTCTTTCTCTTTCTCTCTCATAGACTCACGTAGAGGACCTCTGCCTGAATGCTTACACTATATTGAAGATTTCAATAGGTCCTGAGCACCTGTGGAAGACATACTCTAGAGATCACTCTAAAATCATCCATAAGGGCCCATATTCAACATTTTTTCTGTTTACCTGTTACTGTGATGCAGGTTTAGATTAGGTGCCCTATAAATAATTGATTTTTAAAATTAAATGGTCTTTTTGTTGTTCACTGTATGAACAGCTGTTAAATTACAAGCATAAAGTAGCCAAATCTTGCTTCCTAGCTGTTTGTGTAGTCGTTTCCAACTGAAGACAGAAATGGCTCAAGCTTTAAAAAAAGTCACTCACTTTTATTGAAATGCGTTTGCCTCAACACAGCAAATTCTGTTCGTGATTTAAACCTTTGACGTGAAAGCTAACAACTGTGGAATACAGTTGTGATTAATTTGATTTGATTACGATTGGGCGATTATGTAATAGACTGGGCTAGTCTAATTACATTGGTTTTACCATTTTTCAAACTTCTCTTTATCCCTTGTGCAACAGTTGCATGTTTGTGTTGAGCAAAATATGCTGTCATTGCTGCTCTATTGAAAAACAGAACATCTGGTCCATGTATGACTATAATTAAAATGTAGAATCAAAATTAAATCTTTTAGACTGATGTTTAAATAACCTCTGTTCTGACTGCTTTGCATTGTGTTCAAAAAGCTGAAATTTGCCAGAGCAACACTCCTTATCACTTCACTGTGAATAGGCAGGCTGCAATTTTGTGCAGTGGGAGGTTGCATGTAAGCGTACGTTCACATTACAAGCCTCATTGCTCAAATCCAGTTTTTTGCTCAAATCTGATCTCTCTGACAGGATGGTTCACACTCGTTTAGGTAAGTGATCCAAATCTGTCATTAATGTGAACCAACCGGCGTCCTGAAATGACCCGCATGCGCACATCCTACTCAGTAACGTCACGTGAATGAATCACGTTCATCAGCACAAACTAATGAGCAAAACGAGCTTCGCTGTGAAGATAATTAACTCTGATCAGCTCTCAGCTTCATTATTAGAGCGAGACGAAGGTGAAAATGGTGAGATGTTGCTTTTCCACCGTTTACAGGGTTTAACTTCTGTTCAGCGCTGCTGCCATGGTAACGCTGAATGATGGCACATGCGTGGTGGAAAACAAGCACATGAATTCGGATCTGAGCGTCACATTAAGATCACACAGCCACAAATCGGATACGTATTCGATCTAGGACCACATATGAAAGTGGCTTAGGTTGGATTTGAAAAGATCAGATTTGCATGTTCACACAGCCCTGAAAACATCAGATCTAAGTCACATTCGGGCAGAAAATCAGATTTGTGCCACTTCAACCTGGTAATGTGAACATAGCCTAAATGTGCTCATAGTTATTTCTAACAGGCTGTTTTTGCAGGTCCATTTAGACTGAGTGGACTTAATTTATGAGGTTTCATTTCTTCTAGTGAATCAAACATCCACAAGAATGTGACAAGGAAGTATTTGCCTCCTCCTTCTTTGCCCTTGCTGTCAGCAGCTTGTCACTGTTCACTCTATTTGGTAAAACTCTACTGACCGTAGACGTCATTGCAGAAGTAATAACTGCTGGGGCTTTTTGAAAGTCCCTCCTGAGTTACTTTTAGCCAATTCCTCCCATAAATATAGACTTGAAGAAAAGAACGGAGGCTCGAGCCAAAGTTTGGCTGAAAGTTTGGCTATGAATCAGTTTCAGTGAGCTCATACTTTAGCACCAATAAACATTACTGGCCTCTCGAGATTGGGAATGTTTGTCATTGTGATATTGCTGTGAACACTTGCACACGTATACAGACTGTCTTCGAGATGCTAACCTATAATCTGTTTCTCTGCCTGTCTGTCCATCTCTCTCTTCAGATCTGATCCAGTGCACAAATGAGATGAATGTGAACATCCCTCAGCTGGCAGACACACTATTCGAGCGCACCACCAACACTAGCTGGGTGGTAGTGTTCAAATCCCTCATCACCACACACCACCTCATGGTCTATGGCAATGAGGTCAGTTAAACACGTACAGATCTGTACTTCAGTGGAAAATTTAAATGTACATTTCCTCTTGCATGTCTGTGTTTTGACAAAACTTTGCGATGATTTTTAAATAAGCCAACATCACAAAGGTAGAAACAGTATTAGCTCCAGTTTATTGGCCAGTTCATTAGCATACCAGTTCATTTGGTATACTGGTTGAAGTTCTTCCTCTGGTATTTGTTTTGTCATTACAATTGTACTAGCATGCCACAAATAAGCACAGATAATGCAACGTATAAACAATGTAAACCACTGTAACGTTATCCCCTTTAGCTGAGTGGCTCAGCCAGGGTTGTTTCAGACTTGTTTCAAATGAAAGAGTTCCTCGCTCACTTCCCGCTTTCTAGTTTGTTACATCTTTCTCTAATGCCAATCCAGATAGATGTAATACTGAGTTCTATATTTTATGGATATTTATGTGTCTGGGTCGACAACGGCAGACAATTTCGTGAAAAATGTTGGATGTCAGCGTCGGCCTGCAGTTTCCAAATTAGTGCATCCCCAATACATAAATCAATTAAGTTTTGTATTAATGAGCCACATTATTGAAAACCATTGTGCTTTTTATTACATGTAACAGTTCGTAATGAGCTGTATGGCTTGGTGGAGTATTTATATGATGATTATTATTATTATTATTATTATTTATTGCACTTTAGTGTTTTATAACAGCAGTGAGCCAGACAAGATTGCGATGAAGTGTTTTACTACAGTTAAGGTGATTGAAGGCACTCCATGTTGTTCTCAAGGATGCACGACTATAATCATGATAAAATGATTGTAAAATGTAGATGATGTAAACTGATTTGTATTGTTGTGTTTTTTTGTTTTTTTTTTTTGTTCCCCATGCACACAAGTGTATACTGACTGAGTGACTATGTTTGAAGTAAAGAGAAAATTGTGTACATTCAATTATTTGCAGACTTTTTCACTTTCACTTTAACCTTGAGGACAAGTTTTTAAATTTTCTGCCAAGAGACCTGTTGTCCATACTTTTAATCTGTTATGAATCAGCTGTTTTGGATATCAGGTTTGAAAATAACATTCTCTCTATGAACAGTTCTGTTTATTTCTGTTTGCTATAGTCTCTCTTATTTATTTCCACAGGCTTATTCAGAATTGCAGTGCTATTACATTTAAGCACCCATTTTTAAAATGTTATCTCAACTGTTCGTGTTAGTGAATCCAATGTAAACGGGCTGTCACCGTCATAAGAAGAAGGCTGTAGTCCACTTCTTATCTCACTTCAGTTCTAATACAGTTACTATTTGACAACATCTGAGTGGCCTCAGAGGAGGAAAATGGAAAAACTAATTTTCTTCCCCTTTATGTTTACAGCGATTTATTCAGTATTTGGCTTCCAGGAACACATTATTCAACCTCAGTAATTTTTTGGACAAAAGTGGCTTACAAGGTAGGTGCTTTCAAGCTCATTATCAGTGTTAGAATGTCAGTATGTCAAATCACAGTGTAGTAGAAGTAAAGCTCTGTTTGGTTTCCCCTGTAAATCAGCCTTGCAGGCCTGCAGGGTCCGTAGCTTTTACTGCATGCCGTGCTGTGACAGCTTGGCCAGAGGTCAATGTGTGATAGGACAGGACCAGAGGGACCAGTGGCAGCTGTCAAAGCTTTCGTGCACTCTCTCTCTCTCCCTCCCTCTCTCCTTACCTCCCTTTCTTTTTTGCTCTTTCTGTCTTCTTCACGCTTCCCTGAGGGGCATGTTTAGCAGCATGGCTGAATTTCAGCTTAAATAAAGCACTCCTGGATTTATTTACCCAAGACTTTCCCAAGTTAACAAGCTGCCTGGCAGCCAGCACTCATACAGGGTGGAAATATGTAGAGCAGTTTGCCTCCCGGTGGTGCAAGTGTCTTGTATAAAGATATTATTATTATTATTATTATTATTATTATTATTATTATTATTATTATTATACAGGGTATATGGGTCACCTGCATAGTTTCATCCAGGTCCCCTTTTGGAAAACTCCACCTGGCTGGTGGTAATTAGCCCCCGCGTAATTTGAATTTGAGACCGCTTCTCTACAGACTTAATATATAGTGGACTTTTTAGATACGTATTAAATGAATGGTTTGGTCAATAATGTTCATAACAGTGATTGGGAACAAGTGATGTGTATGAAAAGTACATGCCTCTTAGTGGCCCATATTTTTCAGATGTCTGCGTAAGAACACTTGATACAAGCTTGGGTCTCATCAGTACAGTTAATCTAATTTGGTGCTATGTAAAAGGCATAAACTGTGGTCATATTCTGAGAAGTTGAGCCAATGATGGCAACATTAGCATGTATGGTCGCACTGTTCTTTTACAAAGAGTACTAGCAATAGACTAATGGCCATCCTCTTGAAATATAAGACCATATAGCTCGTTAGAAGGATGTAATATTTATAAATACTGTAAATGGATCTAAATATCATTGGAATTTTTCCACTCTGCTTGTATTATTGGAGATTCTAATATGTTTTGTGTAATTTTGTTTTCAAAGATTTTCAAGAGATATTTCTAAACATTGCAGTTCTTCTTTTCCAGGCTACGATATGTCCACTTTTATCCGAAGATATAGCCGCTATCTGAATGAGAAAGCTGTGTCTTACAGACAGGTGGCTTTTGATTTCACTAAAGTGAAAAGAGGGTAAGTGTATTTTCCTTTACACCAGGGGTCGGCAACATGCAGCTTTTTTACTGCCCTGTTGCGGCTCCGCAGCAGAACTAGATATGTAGATAAACATAAAATAATCCTCCTTTGTAGAAAAATAAAACTTTGCTGATAGTCCGTTCTAACACCGTTTTAACAAGCGCTGGCGTTAACGTATGACTGCTAATTCACCGACCTTTAACCGTAAAGGTTGGTGCGCGGACTGCTGGTCACCATAGCAATGCAGATGAGAATCTGGCCTAGCTAGTTGCTAATGAAAAAGGCAAAGAGAAAGATTTAAGATGAACGTCAATAATTTGGAGACGAATGAACTACTTTTAACCTGCAACAAGAAACTGTCAAACACTAAAAAGTTGAGAAGCTGAAGTCAGTTTCTCGTTCTCCAGCTTCAGTTGTCCTGTTCCACCTTAAATGGTGCATCAGTTGCATTCTGGAGCCTCAGGCACCATTTATGGTGTAACTGGAAAATTCGTAAAAAAGCTGGCAAATGAGAAGCGACTTCAACCTCGTAAAGAGTCGAATATTGAGAGACATTTTACAAGAAACTATTCTATTTTTATGGAAAGTTTCCTGCTGGAGGTGCGAGAAATTCTGCTAGCTGAGCTAAAGCTAAAAGCAGAGCAGAGTAAATCTGCGTTTTCGTATATATTATATTTTTATCCTATATAAATAAATTAGCACATACTGAGACATATTTACAGCCAAGATGGTAAAATGGGCAAAAAATGTGGCTCCCAAGGTGGTTTGATTTTTGTTGAAAGGTCAGAATGGCTCTTCTTAACATTTGGGTTGCGACCCCTGCTTTACACCATAGCTGTAGCCTGTCTAGTGCTTGCAGCAGGTAGCTGGGTGTAATTTCTAAACCTCTTTTGCAACAAAGAATTGGACAGAGGGTCCATAACGGTTAGTTTGTAATAGTAAGAAGAGAACGGTTAACAGTTCCCAGACTGTTGCTAATTAGTACTGTTAGCATTTGGTCTTGTTTTGGAGTGCTGGACAGCTTAAGGTTGCCACCATGCGTATGCTTTACCTTGATCACAAGAGCCAACATTTATTTATAGCAGTCCTCTAAAATCCTAAGATGTATGTCGATACTAGTCTGATGGTCTTGTGATGTCGAATATTGTGCATTTATTCACTCCAGGGCAGATGGTGTGATGAGAACCATGAACACAGAGAAGCTGCTGAAAACCCTCCCCATTGTCCAGAATCAGATGGACTCTCTTCTCGACTTTAATGTGAGTTTGACCTTCAGAAGGCATGCATCTCATTATTTAACCATCTACTGATGGATGATTATTTTGATTTGTGTCTTTACTTTATCTGTTGGAAAGTGGATATTTGTTTTAGCCCCATGTTACCTAACAGACTGTTGACGATACATTAAGAGACTTTGCCTTTATCCTCTTTAGCTCATTAAAATCTGCCTTTAGAGTAGAGTTGAGCCGTATTAATGACCACATTCGTCAAAGTAAAAGGTATCAGCATGTGGATTTGGAGCTTTCTTTGTGTATTCTTTCGTTGTGGAAATGCTGCGTTTTTAAAAAAATAAATAAATAAAATAAGTAAATAAAACATAAGAAGCTCTATGAATTTTCAACTTGGTTAGATTGTGTTCTTCACGTCTCAGAATAATGCAGCAACAACTTTGACAAACCACATTATTAAAGGAGAAAAGTGTCTTTAAAAGCAGAAATAGGTTTTGCTTCCGCATTACAGGGTTAACTGTTTGTTAATCTGATATATTATTTTTTTTCTCTCAACAGGTAAATGCCAATGAACTTACGAACGGGGTCATCAATGCCGCCTTCATGCTCTTGTTTAAAGATGCCATCCGGCTGTTTGCTGCCTACAACGAAGGGATCATCAACCTTCTCGGTGAGCTGCCTTTCCGCTAAAGAAACATTTTTGTGCTGTGCTGGCTCCTGCTGCCTGTTGACTTTTTGCTGTTTGCCTGCCCCCATTGTTTCCTGGTAAAGAAAGTTTTGAACTTGTCCTGATGTAGCCCAGTCAGTGGAGTGTACTTTGGGCCATCTCCCTGCTTTATGAGCCCTACTGCTCTGCTTTACAACAACCACCCATAATTATACCTCTCTCGATGGTCATTCACATAATAACAGTCATAACTGTGGGTTATTTAAGTAAGCTGAATGCAGTTACGTATCCCTTTATGGAGTTTTGGCTGAGCTGGTAATTTGGTGTGAGGCAGGTAGGGGCACTTAAAAAAGAAAGTTTTAGGATGAAAGCTGTGAAATTTCATGAGGAGAAAGTATCTTGAGAATTTGTTGTTAACAGCTTTGTGTTTGATAGGCATATTAGAGCATGTTTATGTTGGCCAAGCGAGCGGCTGACGTGAGTTGGAGAGTGGTATTGTCGTAAACGAATGTGAAAGTTTGTGCAGAATGGCAGACTGGTGAGACATGCTTTGGATCATGTCCTAATGACAAATACCAGAAATAACTGGGTCTTGTGAAATCTTTGAAACTGCTCTGTAAACACTCTGAAGTTGAACTAGGAAATGCAGTTTACCAAAGGTGCAAGTACAAGTTTGTAACACTTTTAATACAGTATCATTATGTATATTCATAATATATCCTGTTTCGTAGATACACCTCTCAGTCCCTTTTTTGCCTTTGTCTTCTATGGAAACCATTGTCAGTGATCAAAACAAGACATCTGAATGTATCCTGTCAGGCCAAAACCTGCCGCGTACTGTACGATAACAGCAATTTTTAATGTTTATCTTGTTACACTGCATGAGATGATTTCAAATAAAATTTTGACCAAATTTTGTGGCAGACTGCAACTTCCATTATGCTGCAGATCAGACCATACAGTATATATTCTGGCGATAGACACAAGAAAATGACAATATTCTGCTTGTGTCTTCTGTTTTCTACTAAAAAGTAGGACCACAAAATAAAAGAAGCTTTCAGCATAAAGGCAAAGTCATGGTAGGAATTTGCAGTTTGCATCTTCTCATAAAATGGTCTTGACTGAGGCTGGACCAGAACATGAGGGTTGGAAAAACATCCTACATGCTAAGATGATTAGCAAGCTAGCTAACTCGCTAACCATGAACAGCAACAACACAAAAGTGAACAAGATTATACACTCACAAGAGTATAATGCTGCACACTTTGCTGTAGCAAAAATTGTAGATAACTGGTATGGTTGGCTGCAGCGGGGTGTGCAGCTGTGGTTAGCCAGGGAGCTAAAATCACATTTAGCAGCCTGGCTAACTTGTCAGCCGCAAGTGTGAAAACAAACGACGAAAGAAAAGATAATACAGTCTCCTCACTGCCAGTGTATCATGAAAGGAAGACTGCATGATACACTAGCCACGTTTACATGCAGCCTAATAATCTGTTAATAATAGCTCACTCAGAATGGAATATGTCCATGTGAACACCTCAGTCGGAATAGACTAGTCCAATTGAGGTTATTCGGATTACAGTTTCTACCTGATTGAACGAGATGGGTAATCGTGTAAATAATCCATTAAATAGAAAAATAATAGCCGTGTAAATGCTTTTATCTGATTATGTTCCCAATCGGAACGTGTAAGTGCGCTCTGATCATGTGTGACACGTCATAGCCAAAGTTTATAATGTTCAACATGGCGGGAGCAGAGGAGATGGTTTATGCTCAGCTTTAAAAGACGGTGGTGGGATGGACGTCCGGCTTCCTTAATACATGTAAAGTTTGTTTTTCTGACATAATTTTAAAGCAATTAGAAACACAAGTGCACCACCTGAAAACTTGTCTCACTCTGACTCGACCTCACGCGATGCTCGTTGTCATGGTAACTACACTAAGTGATTCTCCGTGCATGCTCGTCATTTTGGATCTGATTACTTGTCGTGAGCATGTAAACAGAGATTTCCCATCAGATTGTTGAGTAGAGTGAGCATAGAAACACCTCAGTCTTAATCTACAATGGGAATGTATTCTATCAGATTAGCAAAAATCTTCGCATGTAAACACAGACACTGTCCGTTAGGAGATACTATTATCATGGCTAAAATTAGTTTCCCCGGTTGTGGAGGTTTGGTGTCATGATGGGGGGTCGATTTCAAAAGAAAAGAAAAGTTCTTCAGCTCCATGTCTGGGAGTCGACACTCGAGCCATGACTCAGAGTTGGTGCTTGGAGTTGACACTGCAACTGCAGTTGGCTTGAACATTTTTACAGAGGCGTGTTTAATGCAGGAAAGAATCTGAGTTTGATTGCATACGTTTATTTAATTACCAGGCTTTAAACAGTGGCAACGCTGCTCAGCAGCACAAACTCGGGTCAAAAACACGTTTTTCGACGTGTGCTGCACTGCTACACCTAGCTTAGGTTTGCCGTAAGCATTGTTTTAGGAACCGAATTTTGCACAGAGCTAGAAAGGGAAAGAGGGTTAAACTGAAATTTCTAATTTGCCGTCTTGTTCAAGTTTTCCACTTCACGTTACACAGTGCTATGGTTACATTCATGTGGCTTTGCCCCATTAAGGTAACTGCTGCATCATTTAAGGTGGAACAAAAAAGTTAAATAAGAACCTGGTGAATACAAATCCAACCTCAGCCTTGTGAAAAGAGGAACAAGGTAATATCCAACTGTTGCAAAAACTTGGTTCCTTTTAAAATAATTGAAAAATGATTTGAAATGGTTTCTTTCCAAAGAAGTATGACTACAGTAATGTAGTCATAATTCTTTGGAAAGAAATTACAGTAATGTAGTACGTCACTTAGTTTCCTCTCACCCCTCATTGTATGAAATAGGCTAATGGTAAACATTTGTCAGCTATGATCATTTGTCAAGCTCTCTGATATTACTTGGTATAATCTATGAATTTATGACTATAATCAGCTTCTCAGACATTATTTTTTTTAAATTATGTTTGATTCCAGAAACAGTGTATTGCTAGTTTGGTGCTGCTATATGAAGGGCCATCCCTTCAGAGGGCAGTGCAGCCAGTGCAGTAGCTGTGGTCAAAGACGTGCAGTTTTGTTCACGTTAACACGTCATTGGCAAAAACCAGTGTGACTGGGTCTTAATAGTGGTGACATTTTGCCTGAAATAAAGAGAAAATAATAAAGATGTAGTAGTAGTAGTAGTAGTAGTAGTATTGTTATTACACAGCATAGAGGCGTAGTGCGAAGCTGTTCTCGCTAAGTAAAAATAAGGCTTTGCCAGAACTTTGTTAAAGGCTGGCTTTGGTCGCAGTGGCACTAATGTGGCACTATGAAACCTTTAATTTGACTGTCAATCAAATATTTTTTCATAAATTGCATTTTGCCTGTGAGTTATCATGATGAAAATTGTACAGTGTAAACATGCTTTAATGTGTACTGGGAGGGGCCTATGCTTTGCACTCACCCACAGTCAGGTGTCTAAGCTTTTTTTGGCTTCTTTTAAGGACAGTAATTTTTGGGGCTTATTTTGTTGGAGGGTTGGCACAACAGCCACGGAAAGAAAACTGTGTGAGAACTTATAATTTTGAGCTGTAAATAAAAATCTAGGTCTAAGACGGCGATCAAATAGAACAGATTTATGTATTGGTATATTTCCACTACTGTACATAATCCCTCCTGTCACGTTTGTGTATTGAGTGTATTTTTTTTTTTTTTAAACACAATTCTGAAATGTACCAAAATAATTAAATTGTGTTGTGTTTATACCTCATTGGTCAAATCTGTAAATAACTCCTCCTGCTTTTCTCTGCACAGAGAAGTACTTTGACATGAAGAAGGCTCAATGTAAAGAGGGGCTGGACATCTACAAGAAATTCCTCACTCGAATGACGAGAATCTCAGAGTTCCTCAAAGTTGCCGAGGTGAGTCTGTCTACCCCTGCTGTGTAGTCTGAGCTCCGGATATGAAGATTCATGTGAGCTTGTCAATTATTCATTTGTTATAATGCTTCTTTTTTTTTTATCCTCTAAAACAAATGCTGTCCCTCTTAGCTCTGATACAGAGAGTAGTTGGTCATATTCTCTCTCTGGTACACAGAGATGTGCAGAACATGCGCATTTACCCCAAGCCTTTCAACATTTTTTGGTCCCTGACAGCTGACAAAAGCTTTTTTAGTGTGCTGGTGTGCACAGTGATATCTAGTGGTTCATACTGTACCAACCGCTGACTTGGAAAATTGCCTCTTTCTCTCTTTCGTCTGAACACAGCAAGTGGGCATTGACCGAGGAGACATTCCAGACTTGTCTCAGGTAAGATCCGTAAGTCTTAGGCACTCTCTGCTCTAAGCTTAGTGATACTGACCTGGTTCTGCTGCCTGTGGGCTTTGACTGCAGTGTGATCTCTCTAACCTCCCCTCGCCCTCGCTTCTGTAACCAAACGCACACAGTCCTGCTCTGCTGGTTCATGGCCAGACTCTTCCAGTCTATGCACAGCTGTAGCCTGCCTCCTAGTCTTCTCCACTAGGCTTAGAATTAAGGAACTGCGTAGAACTTGAGACCTAGATTTGAAAGTGCCATAACTAGACAGTGTGGTTTTAAGGTGCGAGCTTAAAGTGATGGTTCAGCAAAAAAAAATCAAATTTACAGTTTTCTCCTCACTGCAAGTGTCGTCAGTCAGCCAAAGCATGAAAACAAAAGTGATTCTATCTTTGCCCAGCACAAAACCTTTTGCCAGAGGCCTGTTTTTTACTCTTTATGCCAGAGAAATGAAGCCAAACTGAGCTAAGGTGTCTAGAGCCTAGCTGCCTCACTATCTCTAGCTTTTTGCTTGTTCTCTGCCTCATCTGGCATCATTTCTATCATTTGAGTAACCCATTCTCTACATTTATAATGCTCATTTGAAGACAGTACTGCGGTTATACTGCTGCGATCAAGTTATACGTCTAAGTTACACTACAGTTATGTGGCTAAGATATTCAGCTTCCTGTCAGTAATGTTAGATATTTGCCTTGATTCTGCACTCACAAGCAAACAAAAAAAAGAAAAATCAAAAGTGAACGTGTTCTTTTCCCTTTCATTAATAAATAGACTTGCTAATGTGGTGTCTGACAATGTATGGCTATTTTCTTTAAAAATGGACACACAGCTTAAAAACAGTAGCAGTAGCTAGTCTTGAAACCTGATCTTTGTCTATGCTTTTGTCTGTTTTTATAGAAAAGCGTTTCATACAGAAAACGCATAAAGAAGAATGAGATTCATGCTAATTTATTGGGTTATAAGCTTCATGTACTTCTTAGCTACATTAGCCCTGTAGCTTCAGTTCAGCAAACTCAGACACTTAACATGCCTTGGCTGATTGATTATACTTGGGTTAAGTGAAAAATGGTGTGAAATTACTTTCTTTTGCAGCACTGTCACTTTAAAAACAGCGCCATACTCCCATCCCAGCACGACTCTGCTCGGCCTTCTCTCAGCCCAGCGCCTGCAGCACCCCCTGCATGCTGCTGATGGGACAATGCCTTGGGCTGCTTGCTATTTCTCTCTCTGTCCTCTGTGCTCTGCACATACAGCCATAAAGGTGTTAGACTTTTTTTTCTGCTTTGTTACTGTAAGAGCAGATTCAGACTCGGTGCTTTCAGGAGTCTGCAAAGTTTGTTTAATTAAAATTTGAGTACTCATTCTCTGTAACCTTTACAACAAGCATACAGAGCACACTCAGGTGCTGGAACAGAGCTGGCAGGGCGCAGACTCCACACTGACGGAGAAATAATCTCTGGAAACATGAGTAGGGCCCGTCTCTCTATTTGGTTTGGCTGCCAGCGTTCACATTGAAAGATGACACTATTTAGAGAAACCTGGGTGACCGGTGGGCATGACTGTCCAGGAAAGCTGTAGCAGAGTTAGTTTTTAAAGTGATCTTCTGTCATTTTTTTAAAATCTGTCTGCTGCATTTATAGAATATGGTTGATTAACATGGATAGGATTTTTCCCGTACTTAGGAAAGAAGAAACTAGGAAGCTAATAGGAAGGTGCTTCAGCATCTGCCCGTTGGCTTCTATTATCAACATATTTCTACATGTGAAATTTCACCAATATTTCAAACTATGTGCATAATCAAATCTTGGGATGTAAACAAAGTCATTCAGAGTGATTTAAAATTTAAATGCACCATTCTAGAGAAGATAATTCATAGTGGTGCTGATGGGAACCAGACGTCCGAAGTGTTTAATGCCTGTAAAAGCTACATCTGTTACATTAATTGGGTCTAAATATGTTGTATGATGTCTGAGTTTTAGGTTAAGGGTTTTTTTTTTTGGTTTTGTGTTTTCTTTTTTTTTTCTTCTTGGGAAACATTAATAGTGGAGAGGTACATGCAGGGTGTTGTAATGCAAAATAGTACCCAAAGAAAACCTAGGTTTTATGATTTTCTCTTTTATGATTGACTGTTTACATTTCAACAACTGAATAATGCATACATTTTTGAAAAATTGGTCAAATACCTCACAGTGAAATTGTCTGTTGTAATCGACCGTATACCATACTAATGGCAGATAGACATTATGTTGAGGAAAAACTGAAGAAATCCATCAAGGTCCAAATATGATTTTGCTTTTAGTCTGCAGGTTCATTCTACTTTTCTTAAATGCTCTGAAAATACTTCTTTCAAACTACCACCTTTATATTCTGTATCTTTCCCTATCTCTGTTTTCAGTTTACAGTCTGTGTAAGTATCTGCTTCTCCCTCTCTCTCTCTCTCTGTGTTCGATGGTAGCTTGTTCCCATTGTGGTGATGTTAAAGTACTTTGCATGCTCGCTGTGTGTGTGTGTGTGTGTGTGTGTGTGTGTGTGTGTGTGTGTGTGTGTGTGCGCGTGCGCGCATGTCTGCAGTACTAAAATGGTGAACCTCCCCCTCTCCAGGCCCCCAGTAGTCTCCTGGATGCCTTAGAGCAGCACTTGGCTTCACTAGAGGGGAAAAAGGTGAAGGACTCGACGGCGGCCAGCAGGTACAGTGAGTCGCTTCGTTAACTTTGCATTCCAGTGTCCAGCCAGGTTGTTGTTCAGAACTTACAAATTTAGCAAGTGTGTGAGACTTTCTGAATCTCTGTGTTTGTGTGTATGTATGGTGTGGGGGTGGCTGGAAGAGCTTTCAGCCCTGCAACTGAGGTGAATGTTGTTGAACTGTTAAGAAGGAAAATTCAAATGTAGAAAGCAGATGTAACTCCCAGCAGCCCTTGATGCATTGTATTCTCTCTTAAGCCTTTTAATTAACCAGAAAGAAGTGATCTGATTAAACTAAAATGAATTTGCACATTCTGATTCTTCATTTTCATTCTCTGCATGCTACTGCTATAAAATGTTTCTGACATATTATTATTTTTACACCAGTTGAGTGAATAACACAGCAGGAGTACACTTTGCACATACTTCTAAAAGCAAAAAAATAAACTCAAAGCATTAAGTTTCTTTTATGCTAGTAACAGTTCTGGAATTTTTTAGGCTAATTTATTGGGTTATAAGCTTCATGTACTTTTAGCTACATTAGCCTTGTAGCTTCAGTTCAATTGGAGGGTCTGTAGATTTTGTTCAGGGGCCTAATATAAATAAGTGCATTGAAGTGCAAAATGCTTCATAATTATCACATCAACCACACTAGTAATATAGTGAAAACATTAAATGTGAAATTAAGCATTCTGGTGCATAGAATACAGATGAAGTCTACAATTGCTGTAGAATGTTTTACTTTAATAAGTTCAACAACTATACAAGTATGACATGTAAAAAAGGTTCCTGCGTTGCAGATACAATTTTAAAAAACATCTATACTCACTGAAAAAGGCAAGGCGTGCTTGGGCCCCGATGATTACCACTAACGGTAGGTGGTTGTTTAGACCTCAGAAGAAAATCCGCGTAATTCAACATGTTCATCAGTTTCAGATGGGAATGTAGTGGTAGCTGTGTGTCTTGGCTGCGGACAATGACTTGATATATGTTTACGTTTACATTTACATTTTTTACATTATCATTCGAAAGCTATCGAATAAAGAAATCATGCATGTGAAAACGAAACCAACTTTACCACTCTCAAAACGTTTTCACATCTACTGTACATGACCATCTTTATATACATGACCATGATCTGCTGCAGGTGAAGATGATTGTTTTGAAGAAGAAAAAATGTAGTTGTGGCTAAAAAAGAAAAAAAAAGTTAATAAAGCAGATTAAATGAGACTACAGTTTAAGGGGGGGGGCTATTTAGCAGTTTCTGTGAGTGATTTTAGACAGGGGATTTGTTCATACCAAGTACTAGGACAGAGCTCAAAGTGCTTCTCCACTACAAGTTTGAAACCACTTAAAACATTTTGCTTAATACCCAGAGTGTAGCAAAACAACAGAAGCAGAAAGGAGAGTCACTGCTAGCACATCGACGCCATCTGTAGATTCAACTTTGGAAAGATGAAAATTCACAAACGACACTGTAAAAGTCAGAAAAACTACAAGATATTTTAATTCACTGTCTTGGATGATCGGCTGTTCTCTGTCATTGAGGACATTGAATTCTGTGGCAAATACTGTGTAAACTGGTTTTATTTATTGATAGCTTATTGACAATATATTATTATTGTAAAACATAAAATGCAAGTTAAACAGCAAAGTTTTGGCAAAGTGTGCCTTGAATTTTGCTTTTGGACAAGAATTCATTTTGGTGCATTACTATCAATTGTAAAGCATTGGTCTTTAATCTGTTTTGATAAGAGTGTAACAATACACGCTGCCCATAATTCGATTTGATTCTCGAAACTGGATTTGCAATTTGGTGTATTTATAATATTGTGAACAAAATCTGAATGAGGGAAAATTATGACTGTAATGTTTGTTGCACAGCTTACTAATGACTCTAGAGCTGGGAGGCAGGAGTGGTACTGCAGTGAGATATTTATTGGTGCTGTTTGAACATCAAACAATGCACTTACATTATGTGGCATAAATAATAGAATGACCACAATCTCAACACACAGTGTAGCCTGACCTACAATACAGTCAGTGTAATATATGTGACAAAATTTTTAAAAATATAGTATATAATTATAGCTGGTTAAATTTAGAATCATGTTATAAATTTTTATAAATTCATTCCGAGCATCCATATCAACTCGCCTCCGAGTGCAGCAAACCGCACCGCTTTTCACAGATTTTTTTTTTTAAGCTAAACAAGCAAAGATGCCTGAAGGTGTAATTAGTGATAAGGTTGGGAAAACCATTGAGGCACTAGAAGATGAATATTTGAGAAAATTTATCGAAGTGACTTAAGTTCATTTGTGCTGTTTGTGGTATATTAGTACTTTGTTGCAGCCTCTAATGGGTTTAGATTTTATTTAGCACTGCGGTAATAAACATTTATGGTTAATCATAATCAATCATATGTTCAGGCAACCCCTACTAAACAGACTTTATATATGGTTTGTTAATGTAGTTGCCCTTGCTGTTTTACGTAATGCTTGCATTTGTAATTAATACATTTAAAAATAAATTATCAGAATCATTCGAGGGAATTGTCAGTGGTGTTGGATTCAGAATTCAAATGATACCCAGCCCTGCACACAGCAGTTTAGTCTGCACTGGAGTTGTTTGGTTTCATAAGAAAGTAGAAACCCAGAGGTCATTTGCCTTTTAATGACACCTTTTAGGTAGAATTTGATGACTCGCATTTTGAGCAACAGCAAAAAATTACTTCACTAGCTCCAGCATTTGGACGGAAGCCAGGGGTCAAAGTGCACTTCTGTGAAGGAATCAGTAAAACCCTGATCTGTGTGTCTGCTACAGGCCAGGGGAAGTCCACTTTTACCAACACAGCAAATGATACTGACATGTTTGCTCACTCTGTCCTATTTCTCTCTCCCCCTCTCCCCCTCTCTCTCTCTCCCTCTCTCCTCCCTCTCTCTTCCTCTCTTCTCCCTCCTAGGGCCAGTACGCTATCCAACGCAGTGTCCTCTCTGGCGAACACAGGCATATCTTTCACCAAAGTGGATGAGAGGGAAAAGCAGGCAGCTCTTGAGGAGGAACAGGCTCGTTTAAAAGCACTTAAGGTGTGTTACGGCCTGACACCTTACCTAACTCTACCATTACTGACATACAGTACTGTTTAAAAGTTAGGCCACCCTTCATTTATTTAATGTCCAGTCAGGACCATTAAGTGATTTTTCAGCACCAGTAAACAAAAAAAAAAAAACATATTAGACACAAATTTACACGTTTTTGGGAGACACGTTCAGTTTTTTAAAGAAATCTGCTTCAGTTCAGTTCTAGAAGTTGGTTGCATTTTCTGCTACTTGTGAAATAATTCTACACACATTCAATCATGTAGAGGTCTGGACTTTGGGGTGGTCAGCCCATTGTTCTGAGAAAACCAGCAGTTTCTTTTTATTTTCTTATTTATTTTTCTTTTTTTTTTTTTCTTTTTTTTTCTTTTCTTTTCTCTGTAGCAGCTTCTTGACAGCTGCGCATCCTTTCAGATCTGAAGCAGATCTTTCTTCTGTCTCTCGAAAATGGAAGCTTTAGGTACTATTTTTCTGATGGTTTTTGTGGTCTAACAGGTCTTACACATCTTTTAATATATATTTCTAATACAAGGTTTTTCTCTTATTTCACTGATTTTTCCCTTCATTCAAGTGGATTTTAATGATCTCCTCAGAAATATCTCCTGAAAAATGAATGACTTGTAGTTAATAGTGCTTACTAAAAATTAAATAAATTAAGGGTGGTCTCTGACTTATACTGTGCATGCACCCATTCCACCAAAGGACTGCTTCTGCCTTATAGGACTACAATACGAAAACACAAGAATAGAAAAGGATTAATAAATGTGGTTGTGGCTAATCTCGGTATTTGACTCTCTAAGGTGCGCACTGTGGAGTTTTGTATGTATTACGTGTTTGAGTCTGTATGTGTGTGTTCTCTCAGGAGCAGCGCCTGAAGGAACTCTCCAAAAAGCCTTCCACATCCTCCACCACGGCTGCCTCTCCGGTCTCCACGGCAACCGGCAGCATCAGCACTGCCCCGGCCATCGACCTGTTCTCCACACCCAGCTCCACCAGCAGGTTAGGGAGATGTGAGGAGAGGGAGGGGAAAGATGGCCAAGAAATGTGAGCCATTCTTGCTCAGCTCTGCTCCACTCAGTCCCCTTTCAGTTCCCATTTTGTATCACTACACAATTTTCATGTGCACATGAGTTGCTGCAGTTCTTGGAGGCAAGCTGTAATGTAGTGTAGGAACAGGAATTCACAGATTGTGCAACTAATTTCAGTTCTCATAACTAACTACACCCACTTAACCCTGTTGTGTGTAGCTGGGGTTTAAATCTCACAATGATGCAATTTAATTCTACTGTGTCTCTTTAGGAAACATGTACTTAACATACTTATGAAGTATCGAATTTTACCCAGGTTTTGTTTGATTATGTAGTATGGAGGTACTTTATTTTGTTGTGAAGATTTTTTTTTTTTTTTTAATTTTGGCCAGAAAATTAATACATAATGTACTGACTATGAGGGTAAGTTGGGGAAAGTAGCCCCCCCAGCGTTCCCAGAACCAGAAATATTATATAGTTAGATTACATTTAAACAACAGCATTTATGTTGTAGCTGATATATGCAAACCTGATTTTGCCTTGTCATATGCACTAATCATTTGCACTTTTTGATACATTTGGGTGGTAGTAGTAGTAGTAGTAGTAGTAGTAGTAGTAGTAGTAGTAAAATGGCATTTACATCATGTATTTAATAGAATCACTGACTTTAAGTTAGTCTTGTGCTGGTAGTGGGGCAAGACTCACCTTTTAAAGGTTTTTTATGGGCCAAAAAAAATGTGCATGAGTTTCATCCTGTATATGCTGAACTCATGCACAGATATGGTTTAGCTTTACAGTAAATGGGCATTAATATTTGCACTTATTTAACTATAACACATGTTCTAAAGCAGAATGACCTACAGGGGTTAACTGAATGTAGTGTTAAGTCTTCCCCAAGGACTCTTATTGATGTAAGTGGCATTCCTGTCTGGAAGGTATATTGAACATTTTCGCTGCTGACGGAACAAAATCTCTTCTCTCCATGATAACAGGACAGGAAAAAAACAACTTTTAAGTAAATGGAACCAGACATTTTTCCCAGTAATTTTGGGCCATTTCTTTTGGTCAATTCATCGTGAAATTTACACACAGTGTAAAGGGCAATGGGCGTTTTCAAAGTATGAAAAATGAGGTTTTGTACCGACAGCAGCGATATGATTTATTCCATATGCGTGGTGACCACGTCATCCACCATGTTATTTTAATCGATTCTAACATAAAATCAATGCATTGATGCATTTTTACTCTGTTGGTATGGTCTGTTCCTCCCAGTAGCCTGCCTTCCATTTACTGCTGCCTACAACCCACTGATCAGCTTTCACTGCATGTGCTAATGAAGGGAAGTCATTTGGGCAGCAATTATACCATTAAGATAAGTTGTGTTGAGAGGATAAATAATGGTGCAGAGGCTTCAGCGTGGGAGAGATTGGAGCACTTGCCATCCTTTGAGTCGCAGGCATAAAAAAATCTCTTAAACTAATTCTTAAACCATCCTGGCTGTGATTTTTTACTGCATGACTAAAGGTATAAAAGACAGTCCTATCCCTGCTTTATACTGTGATGTCTAGATTCCTGCCTTGAGAATAGCTGGCCAGTAGAAAGTTGCAGTCCTCCAGTGTGTAGACTAAGCATTTCAAATCAGCCTGCCAAGTTTGTCTTTGCGCATGCGTGAGAGAAATTTTTGACCTTCTGAGTAAATTTTTACAAGAGCCATTAATGGAGTTTGTGTGTCTGTGTTTTTGTGTGTTTTACTTTAGTACTTCAAAGGTGCCGAGTGATCTTCTTGACTTGCAGCCAGCGTTCCAGCCTTCTCTGCCTCTCCCCACTGCTCTGCCTGTAGCCAACACATGGGGAGGTAAGTGCAACCCATACAATCCACTATGTTCTCACCTGCAAGTTGATTGATTCTGAATCTAGAGTAGTCATTCCTACATACAAATACTCTCCTTTTACATTTATCTATGTTTTATTCATTTAATCAGGACTAGGGGAGAAGAGGAATTTAGGTTTAAATTTACTGTATAAGTATCATGGATAACATTGATAGCACAGTCATATTTAGGCTGCTGTCAAGCCTTGTGCTAACATTGCTGAATTTACTTTCTTACAAAGTTATGCGATAAAATTTAAGTGCTGATACGTAATCTAATATTTGACTAGTTGTAGGCATTCCATCCATGTTGGCCCTTGTCAAAGCCAGTTGTAGAGGTGGTATGATGTCAGGGAGCCCAAACTAGAGAACGGAGATTGACGCTTTTATTGTGACTCGGGTGCTACAGTTGTCTGTCCTTCTTTGTTAAGTGAAAGGAAGGTGCTCCAAAGTTCTAATCCAGAAGTATGAGTCAACCATTTTGTAGGCCCAAGTGCTGATCTAGGACCTCCTCATCTTGCCTGTATTTCTCAGATACAGACATTCTCTGGGTTTCTTGATTCTACAGATTTGAGATTGCAATTTTCTGCAAGATCCATAAACAACTATGCAAATACAGTAAATGTCACTTAGTTTTTTTTTGCTTTAGTGTTTTGACTGTGGTTCCTGCTGCATCTTAAATGACCACCTTATCATAAATGAACAACTTGGTGAGCCTCATGATGTGTTTGACTGTCATAGAGTTTTTTTAAATTGAACTTGATAAGTAGCTTCCTGTTAAATATGTTAGCCTCTATCCTGCTTAAATGCCTGCATGTTCAGGTTTCAACACACTTCCAGTTTTCTTTTGAATGGAATATGCCTTCATATTCCCACAGCTTAATGCTCAGATTTTGCCCTCTCTGGAACTGGTACACTGCAGGTCAGGTATTAGCTATAATGTGCAGTCTAAGGGCCTTGTGTTGCTCAAAAGTTAAAGGTATTGACTTTGTCATATTGGCAAATAATCAGACAGCTTAACTGTTTTTTTGTTTTTTTTTAGACCATTCACCTTTTATACACGTCAAGCTTGTTTACATCTTGCATGAACACGTTTCATGTCCAGATCGTATCTGGATATACTTTGGCCAAATTCCGTTTACACTTTTCACACAAGCAGATGTATTTGCGTTTGTTTGTATAATGTATGCAGGTACAAAAATTTTGATTTGAGTGATCAGATTACAGTGCATCCTGGCTTTTCACATGATAAAGTAAAAGCTGAACCTGACCCAATCACCTTAAACACATGCTGATGCAAGGTGTAAACAGCTATATAGATTTAGTCGTTTTTGTAATTTCCATTATTTTGTCTAAGAATTTCAGGATTACAGGGCCATGGCACACATGCATGCTATAAAGCTGTCTAGAAAGTCTAATTTTAGTCTACATTTGCATTTACTTACTTTTTTGTTCTTATTTCATTTCTTTAAGAGCTGCTCAGTCAAGGTAAGCATTGGCAAAGTCCTCCTGTAGTAGTGCAGACTTTTAGGACTTCATTGACACCATTATTACTTCAACAGTCTCAAAATAGGTTCACTGCACTCTGTATAAGAAAAGCTGTATGGGCTGGTTTCCCAGAAATGGATTTAGTCTAGTCTTGGACTAGCAGTGCAAATGGTGAATCCCCAGTGGAAACTCCTTTTGGTCTAGGCTTAGCCTTAATCTCTGTCTGGGAAACTGACTCAAAGTTTGCTGTACTTCATGCTTATTGCAACTCATTGTAAATATGAATGCAAATGCTTATATAGGACTTGTTTTATCATATTGAGATTGGATGTATATGAAAATGGCTTGAAGTATGGATTCAGTTTTCTGGGGACTGATTAAACCTGGCCCTATCTTAATCCTAAACCAGGCTTAATCTGTATCTGCTGTCTTTTTGTGGCCACTCCATGTCCGTACATGTGAATCTGCATGCTGTGTCTTATCATCTCTAACATTTCCTTCTGTTGTCTTGTCTTGTTTTCTGTTTCTTTATGGCTGTGTAGATCCTTTCACTTCTTCAGAGACTGTCGACGACTCCATTCCAAACTTAAACCCTTTCCTTACCAAACCTGTCGATGCTGTTCATCCACCTCTTGTGTCTTCTGATGCTGTTAGTTTTCCTTCTAGGACACCCAGTCATGAAATGTTTGGTGGTAAACAGCTTTTCTTTTCTTTCACTGATCATTGCATTTGTTTTATTCATTTGTCTCCTGCATGTTTTGGTTTCATTTTCCATTCCCATTTGATGCATGCTCCACTGCACCTTGGATTCATACATTAACTGTCTAGAACTAGTGATAAGCGTATCCTGAGTCTAAAGTGTGTGCGCATGTGTGTGTGTTGGAGGTCTGCTAACCAAAAAAATTGGGTTTTGGGACGAATTCAGGACATTTTATTCTTATACCTCATACCTGTGGCAGTGTGAACAGCAAAAAACGCATTGAATCTGACATTTTCAATTCCGATTTGAGACGCTTTCATATGTGGCACTGAAATCCGATACGTATCCGATCTGCGGCAATGCGACTCAGTCTGAACAGCCAGATCAGAATTCATGCAACTTTTACGTCAGTCAACTCGACATTCGTCATAATTTCGCACTGCTGAGACTCAAACATTTAGGCTGATGTTTCTGTACCAAAACATTAGAAAAGACTCATTGCAACCGCTCCGTGTTCGAAGAGGTTTCGAACAGAACGGCTGAACGTGGCCAGGCTGCAGCATCAGAGAACAGTTTAAAGAATCCGAGGACACAAACCAAAGAAGTGGCCGTGGCCGAATATTGAGCCCTTTTTTCGGCGAACACATTGTGGGTGATGAGCCCAGCTGTCAGTCATTGGAACTTTAGAATCGCTCCTATGATGCTGGTGAAGACGAAACTGGAAGGAGCGACTGGCGTTCGCTGACCATGATTGGTTACCCTTGGATGAGCGGCCACGTGAAGCATTGTTCTTTTGCGCGTGTGGGTCGGTTTAGGAGCTGATCTGTTCAGACTGATGTCACATACAGGTCACATTTAAAAGATAATGTGAACAGCCAAACAAAAAAATCGGATTTGGTGAGAAAATCAGATTTGGGCCACTTTTACCTGCTGTGTAAATGTAGGCTAATTTTTTTTAATCCCAAATGGGTCAGAAGCATCTTAATTATGGGAAAATTATGACTTGGATGTTACAGTGCATCAGAGATTATTTTTGAACTATGACAGCAGGAGGACTGGCTCAAAGGCTTGTAATATCGTGTGCAGCATATCATCTGATCGAACCCCCTAGTCATTGTGGATTGATAATACTGTCGTAGGGTACAGGATGCAGGCAGGGAAGGAAAAAGGAAAGGAAGGTGGCTTTTTAAAGGCACCATGTGAAAAGGCCACTGTTACTACAGCTAGGCATCGTCTTTATGGTTAAATCGGTTATCTAAAAAATTATGTAAAAATCTTTTAAGCCCTGTTCATGGGAGGCTGCTGCACAGCTTTATCAGTGTAACAAACCCGACCACAATTACGAAGTTCTGCCTTTGTCTACCTCCACAAAATGTTCTAAAGCAAAATAACATACTAGGGCTGATTCAGGACATAAACGTTAAAAGAAAACTGCGAGAGAAATATCATTACTTTTGTGCGCATGGATGACTTGGTCATATCATTTAAATTGTCTAACCTGTCAGTTGCAGTAACTGGAAACTATTGCCAGTTGATGATACTGTCGTAAATCAGCTCAAGCCTGTGTCTTGTCTTTAGTGATAAGTTTAAAATGGGTGCAGCCGTTCTGCAGCAGCTATTATCCAGAAACAAATGTCAATGTCTGTGTTGGCTGGTTCATTTTCTGTTGCAACAAAGCAAGGTCCTGTAAAACTGTCTATGATAATCTATCTCTCAAAGTTCGTGTGAGCAGGTTTGGGTTTCAAATCTAGCAGAAACTTTTGGGTCAGTTCTCAAAGCTGCAGGTGCAGATCTGGTTCAGGATTCAGTTTTAATGCCTGTGCAGACCTCTGCTGTGCATGTGTGTGTGTGTGTGTGTGTGTGTGTGTGTGTGTGTGTGTGTGTATGCAATAGAGCATGGCCTCCGTAAGCTAATTATATACTATAACAACAACAAGCATTTGATGAACAACGAAGCACAGATGGTTTGTCTTGCGGGAGTGTGTATTTGTGTATGTGATCATGTTTGCAGCTGTTATATAGAGGCACCGTTATCATTTACTTAAAATACTGCTACTTGGTTGGTCTGTGTTGAAATATCTGGGTGCCTGATTTCTGGACACAGATTAAGTGTAGATTTGAACTAATCGCTTTGTAAATTGCTTTGCTTACACTGAAAATCCAAGACAAAGCTTAATCCTGCCCAGGACATTTGCCTGGTTGTGATTTAGAGGAGACCGAAGCAACTACATAACCTATGAGCACTGTTTGTGTTCGGTAGCCATGTCTTTCATGACCGTCAACTTGGCTGCATGATTACTTGAGTAGGGCCTTACCGATATATTGGTTTATTGATAAAACAAACCAATATTAAGGTTCCATAGACATGTCCATAACACCAGCGATAATTGCCACCGATAATGAATTGATAGCTTAGAGGATTTTATATAGAAATTTGACCATTTTTAAGAACTGATAATCCTCTTTGATGGTTTACAGTTGACAGCTGACAGTCACATCAGACAGTAAAGTGCTGTTTAACTTTTGACCATATTATCTTAGCTGAATTTGAATTTTCAACTCCATGAAATCTGTGTTTGTGACTACCTAATATCAGTCAGGCCCTAGACTTGAAGTGTGTCCTCCTTTCCTCCTCAGTTAAAGAACTTGCTGCAATATTTCTTTTACGATATTTTCTTTTTGTTCAAGTTATGCTAAAGTTTGTTTCAGTTTCATTTCAAATTAAGTTAAAGGTAAAAGTCTCCATTTCCCATCATTAAAACCTCTAAGTTTTACCTTGTTTTCCAAATGTGAATTTTTATTTTTTGGTTCTCCAGATCATTACAATCCCTTTCTCGATTCAAGCTCCTCTGTTGCCTGCACTCTCGAGCCCTCTGCTCGGATAGAGGGTTTTCTCTCAGGTACAGACGCCCGCGTGTGACTCTGTTCTCTGGGTTCAGAAAACACAGCTCCACGCTGCAGGGCCCTGTGTGTGTTTCTGCTGTGTTCTGCAGGCTTTCGGCGTCCTGTGCTAACCCTGCTTCCTCTTCTGCTGGATTTGGTTCCTTAGTTCCCTCTTTGTTTTGAAATACTAGTTTTACAGTCTTAAAATATTAGTTTATGCATCTGTTTTCTTTAAAATACATTTCTAGTTAATAGGTTTTCTTCATGCAGCCTAGTGTTGTCCTGTGTCTCAACTCGAGTATATTCGTAATGGGCTGGTCACTTTCAGCGCAGTGTCTTTAGATTGGGAAATGCAACAGGATACATCTCTCACACTCATGAGTTTGACAAAATTTACAGTTCAGTATCCTTTTTATGTTTTTGTTCATCAGCGTTTTCTCACTGAATTACACAAATTGGGAATCTCCAGCACAGAGATAAAGAAATTCACTGATTTACCAATTAGGCCAGTAAATGCAGACGTGATTTCTATTAGTAACATTAACTTTGCATTGGCCATAAAAACTTCAAACTGTCAGCCATCCTGTATCAACCCTAAAGCAGTTGTAGTTCCTCCCACCTTCAAGATATAATCATCAGAAGGGTGTTTGCTCTTAGCAGATTTAGGCCATATGTAGTGAATTGGGGAAAAGCCATTCAGCTTGCTTTACAGCCAAATTAACCCTTGTGTGGTGTTCTGGTCTGTGGGACTCATTTTCAATATTTACCAAAAGATAAAAAAAGATGCGATTGATTATTGTTTCAACCCCAGATTTCTTGGCCTTTGCTCATTTTCTCTGAAGAACATATAAAATAACACATTTTCAGTGCCTTCACACTGTTCACTCCCCACACATTTATATTACTCGTGGTGTTGGGTGAGCCCACGGGGACTGAAAGTGTGGAGGTGCTGTGTCCCTTTACTCCATTCTCCTCCTACATGGCTTGCTGTTTGTGTGTGTGTGTGTGTGTGTGTGTGTGTGTATGTGTTTGTGTATGCGTGTGTGTGTGTGAGGGTGGACAACATGGACAGGCTGCTGACTGGTTATGGCTGCTAACAGAGAACCCTACGCTGGTCACTTGTGATATTTTTAAATTAGATTTTAATCTGGTATTTTTACATAAATTGTTCTGGCTGTATTGATTTAAAAAAAAAAACAATGTGGTGGGTCCACCAGACCACTGAGTAACAAACACATCAACACCACACAAGGGTTAATAAAAATCATAAGAGATTGTCCAAAATAAAAATTATTCGTCCAGTTGCTCATCACAAGTTAAGACTAGAGGATACCAGTGTGACAAACACAAATATTTGAATGTTTGCAGTTTCCTTAAAATGTTCAGAAAAGAGCTTAGGAGTAAAATATACTACAGTTACTGGGAAAACAACATTCTAGTCTTTCACCCAACGTAGGTATGGCACACCTACTAGATGACTGTGTTTGTGTTAGTCCCGTCAATGGACCCTGGTATTTAGAGGGGAATATAGGCTGATTCCCATCCTGGTCGGAATCTGATTGTGCACCCTATCAAAGACTGCAGCTTGAAATTTTCAAAATGGCCAGTGCACCAAGCATGTCTGCCAAAGCAAATTGGAAGCAAAATGTTTTGGGTTAACATTATTTCCTTTTTCAGTGTAAAATTGGCAGCTGTTTGTATGGAGACGTTTCACATACAGTTTAATGATCATGCAATAATTTATCATTTGCATTTAGTGTTTGATTTGAGACCACACTACAAAAATCTAGCCACTGCATAACGAAGTAAATAGTGTCTAGTGTAAGAACACAGTGCCCATATTGAGACACAGGCCATTATGAAACTGGGCTGCCGATAGTCATAATCCATTTAATATCCCTTATTGTTTGAGGCTAGGCAGCTGTGTCTGAGGAAGCCAGTCCTCTTTGGCTCTGTGTGTGTATGTTAATGTTCTAATGTTGCGTCTCTGGCTTTCCTCCTCTGCTGTCCTGTGGCTGTGGCAGACTCGTTCTGTTCTCCGGCCCCCTACTCTAACACCCCACTCTTCCACTCCGAGCCCTCCGCTGTAGCTGGACTATTCGGAGGTAGGTGCTGCTTCCTGCCTGCCTCTCCCCCAACCTCTCCTATTGTCTCTAGTCTGTGTCTTGCTTGTATCTTCTTTCTTTTTCTCTCTGTCCTTTTTATTTTCTTGCCCCCCCTCTGGGGTCCTTTTGAGCAGCTTTGTGAGGAACAAGGTTAAACTAATTGTAGGTGAACAGGTTGGACCGAAATGTGTTTATATACATGAGCTAGAGCTGTCACAATTTCACAATAAATGCATCTGTTCCACATTCATGTACCCTTGCTGACCAAATGACCTTCAATAAATTTTTTTTTCAAAGCCAGCCAAACCTTTTCAATGCTACCCATAAGCTACCCATGGAGCACATGGACAAAAGTGTGGGAAATCTGATCTAGGTGTCCCTGAATTCACAGTAAAGTAATTTTTTTCATATTTAGTATTTTTATATGTACTTACCATAGCACTATTACTGTATTTTAAATTTGGTTTTTAACTTCACATTCGTGATAAATTCAAATATATTAGAATTTGTCTGTGAAAGCTAATTTAACAGCCCATTCTGATGTGTTATTTGTACTTAAAAACAGTGAAAATGTACTATAAAGTGTCCTAATTTTATTTTCATCTTAGTGTTGTAAAGACACTTCATATTAATATTCATATTAAATTCACATTAAATTCACTGCATGGACAAATTCAATTCATGTCAATTTTTTTTTTAATATAATTTTGTACTTATACAACTTATTAGTTGTATTGCAATTAATGACCTAATTTAATTTTTGTTGTCAATTTTCTTAAAATTTGGACAGCCAAAAGTGCCTTTAGTTGCAGAAACACCCATATAGTTATTAATGTTTTTTTCAAAGTCATACTTGTTTATCTAGTTTGCTGTAAATGCTGTTAGTTTATTCTGAAAGGCTGTGCTGTTTTTTTTGTTCAGTTAAATCCGTTTACATAATTTAAAAAGTCTGAATATTCAGTTGATCATTAAATAATTGGTAGACTGCATGATTACTCCTATCAGTAGTGACTGCTCAGTTATGGCAAGTGTGGTTTTATGGATTACAGTGAGATGATGGCTCTGTTGCTTTACTGAGCACAGCAAAGGTGTGTGTGTGTGTGTGTGTGTGTGTGCAGTGGTTCCTGGAAATAAGTGTTATCTGAATTGCCCCCAGCCACGCTGGCTCCAACACCTGGCTTTCTTGGGAAGTGAAAGCAGTGGCAGTGAATTGATCCATTCATGTTGAGAAAATGACATGGCACACAATGGCCAGACTCCATTCAATGGCACATTTGCCCTGCGGGTCTAAAGTCTAACTGGGTCACTTGTGTTGTGCCCTTCTCGTTTTGTCCTCTGCAGGGTTTTCAGCGTCTCCCGTCCCCCAGCCCACCAGCTCCTCCGGCCTTAACGTCGACTTCGACTCTGTGTTCGGCAATAAATCCACCATTAACAGCACAGACGCCGCTGGTAAGAGATAATGACTTTATTTCCCTGTTCTCTACTGTTCCTCTGCCTCACATCCATCTCACGACCCTGGAAATCTAAAGGCCTGGGAGTTGCTGCTGCTGTGCTGTACGTGGTGCCACTCTGGATCTATGATCCTGCAACCATCATCATCCTCATGAATGGTTTCTGCGTAATGCCTGCATGATGTTCCACGAAGTGCAGTTTTCATCATCCAGACAGTTTAGCAAAGGAGCACAATCTTCAAACCTCACTCAGCTCCTTTTTCCATGTACGCTAATAATGTATACTGTGATCTTGCTGCATGCATCATCAACCTTTTTGACATCTAGTATTTTTTATTAGAAAATTGTGTATAATAGTGTATAATAAAACTGTCGTACCTATTATTTTCCGTATTTTTTTATTTTAGTTATTTTAGTCTACTCAAATTGTATAAAGATATATGTATATATATTCTGACTCCCAGTTGTACTTCTTTCAAACAATAATTCCTAAAACAAGCAAAATTATCTGCCAATGCAATAAGAAAATCCAACTAGATATGATCATTGAAACAAGTTAAAAATGACTACAAATAGGTTGAATCATTATTAGAACTTTCTTAGGACAATGGGAAATACCAAATATATTGACTAGGTTTGTGGTAAGATAATAAGATAAGATAATACTTTATTAGTCCCACAACGGGGAAATTCTCCCCGGACGTTTCGCTGGACGTGGTGACTTCCAGCAATAAAACACCTCTCACAGTGATTAAAACTTTGAGGAGGTATTAGAGAGTTCTTCTTATAGGACTTCATTAAAATGAGTACGGCATGTTTTGTTGACAGAGTAAGACTCATAGTGTGCTGTATGTTGGGATTATACATTGATATGTCCCCTCTTTCTGTCTCTCTCCCTCTCTCTCTCTCTCTGCTGTGGTAACCTCTTTGGGCCTTGGCTTTGCATGGCATTCACTGCTTGGGTGAGTTGATGCTGCTTTTAAAAGAACGCTCCAAACCCTGTTTTCCAGAGTTCTTTACATTTTGCCTTTGCATTTCATGAGGTTACTTTTCACTCCATCCATATTTAAATATGGGGTATCTCTCTGTCTATTGTTCTATTTTTTTTTTTCTCACTCGTCTTTTTTTCCTCTCATCCCTTTCTTCATTTTTTTTAAGATGATGTTTTAGGTGGTATCCTGAAACCCACAGTAGCCTCTCCAAACCAGGGCTTGCCGCCCAGCACTCAGCAGCCTGGCAAACTGGTGTCTGATGACCTGGACTCCTCTCTGGCCAACCTCGTGGGCAGTATGTACCGGCAGCTGACTCATTTTGCATTTTTCTACTCATCCTATAGCTATAAAGCTTATTTTTCACTTGATTCTGTCTGAGTTCTGATTATATGTAGACTTTAGGTTTAGATAATATGTTATCAGTATAATAAGCTAACAAGTTATAATCTTACAGCATGTTTGTGTTTCATCTAGTAGTGGGTGGTATGTTGAGAAATTTATATCAAATTAAAATTTCTGAACATTTTTATATATATTATTATTATTTTCAAGTAAAACCATTTAGGATGCTTAAATCTGTGTTTGTAGTTTGAGACTTATCATGCTGTAATGGGCTTTTATTTTTTTATTAAGAAAGACTTTTAATGGCCAAGTAAATCTAAAATATGATTTGTGTAAAACAGTGGACAAAAAAAAACAATGTAGCCCTGCGAAACCCGTGCTAAGTATTTCATGTCTCATTTCTACAAAGCTGACTTCTTCTTTGCCAGCTTTTTGTTTGAATGTTACTTTCCACCTTAAATGGAGCACCGGAAACATTCTGGCACCAGGACAGGCACCTGATTGTAACTACTGCACCATTTAAGGTGGAACAGTAATATTTACATAAGAAGCTAACTTAAGCTTTGTTGACTTTCTCAAATCTTTTGTCTCATACATGTGTTCCATACACTGTCAGACACTACCAGAAATTTCAAAACGTTAGTCATTCATGGTCTATCGGTGCCAGCTGGTCCATGGTTTGTTGCGCAGGCAAGGCCATGAACTGAAGACGGTATGAGAGGAAAAACAGAAGCACTCTGGTGTCCATGTTAGGCTAAGGCTACCCCCAAAAGACTGGCAATTTCAGTATGTCTACTGCATCATACAAAGTGAACTACTTCAGGTGCAACAGACTACACAGCAGGAGATGATTAAACTGCTGTGGTTTAATTTTAATTTGAAACGTGATGGACATTCTTGTCTCATGCCACTCAGCTAAATGGAATAACATTGGCACGGTTTGCACTGTTCCTGTGTGTTATTTGCATTTATTTTTGGCATACTGGTAAAAGGATTGTGTCAAATCTCAACTGTTACCCCAGCTCACTATGATTTATATATATATTTTTTTTTTTTCTTTAAATAGATCTGGGCATTGGGAATGGCACAGCAAAAAAGTAAGTAACATCACACAATCTATCTTAAATCAGCTGCAGCCCATGGCAGATGCTAATGTGGGCCGTGCTTTTTTGTACTAAGTGACATCCATTGGAGTCAGCCTGGTGAGAAGAAGTTGACTGGTGGAACCAACTGGCAACCAAAGACTGCTCCCACCACAACATGGAACCCTGCCACAATGGTGAGATCATCATGTTTTTCAGTCCTTTACAAGAAACGACTTTTAAAAATGGCACCTGTCTTAATGTTAAACAGTTGTCTCTAAACAAAAACACTCAGCTGTGCTCAGCAAAGAGTTGTGTAGTATGTGCTGGAAATTGACCTGCAGTGTGTGTCTTTTGTGTGTCATTTGTATCTTTGTCTCCTCTAACTGTCTTGTTGCATTGTGTAATTTTCATCTGGTGGAATAAACAGAATGGCATGCATTTCCCACAATACGTAAGTCAAGTGGTTGAACTGTTTTTTGAAAGCATGAGTTTATTATTAACCTCACAGCTTCCTGGTCACAACACTGTGTCAGTGTGTCTGTGCGCGTGAGAGTGAACTCTGTATGTTTGAGTGTTTGCTTACGGTTGTGCACATAGTGACCAGAGTCACACTGAAGCCCCTGTGCTCATTGTGACCAGCTGATCTAACCAAGTGCTTCCACAGCATGACTGACTACCTCCTGTATTATCTTCTGTGAAATTTTCTCCTTGTTCACACCAGATGATTTGACTGAGAGATGGTTTTGTCCCACCCCAACCCTCGCACCCCATCTGGTTAAACATTTTCCTTATGTGGGAGGGGGCCGTTGAATGCATGATGCTTTAGGTTGATTTGGGCACTAGCATTAAAGGCTAGCCTAAACCGCCAGTATACTTCAGATGACCAAAGAACGAAGGAAAACTTAATTAACTACAGATGCCTTCGTATGTGTATTTTACAAAGCACCCAGTCGGTTCCTTAGTGGTGCAAACGTGTTGCTTCGACCTTTTTTTTGTTTTTCCATTTTATTTATTTATTTATTTTTTTGTGAATGGGAGCGAAATGCTGGCTGATTTGAGGAGAACTACCCCACAGTAAGGTCTTTTGGGTTTGTCAAACACTAGAGGGCACTCTCGAGCTAGTCCAAAATTGATTGGCTCCTACGGCGCTCATGCAAAATTAGTTTTTAAGTGCTTAATTGTTTTTTATATAGAAAATGCCCTTATTTTCTGAACACAGAACAGCATACAGTATTTCAGCATTACGCTAGGAATTTCTAACCGTGCCTCACAAATTAAAGGAAGATCATGGTTAGAAACAAATTTAATTTCTTTATTAACCATTTAGATCTATTCATCCCTATTCGCCGTCTTGCCTGCTGATGCAATCATACAAGTTTTGGCGCAATCCTTGGCTAGATCGCACGTTTGACCTCTCGCAAGAGAGCATAACTGGCCTCCCTCTCCCTCAAGAGAGCATATGGATGGCCCTTCCCCTCCTCCCATCACTCGTCAAGCCAACATGGGTGTCTTTTGGCTGACGTAACAGAATTAGCTGTTAGTGTTCTCCTCCAGGCGTGTTGAGCTGTTCAGTGATGTTGCGTTAACAGGAGTCCAAAAAGATGGCAGTTCACGTGGCTCAGAGGAAGCATTTCATCACTTTCGATCACTTTCCTTCATGATGGGGAGAAGTAGCTAGCAAGTGGAATTGAGTATGACTAAACTGTGTAGAGACTTGTGTTCTCGGGAGCTGACATCATGACACCAAACAGAGCAAGCAAGATAGAGAGAGGAACTGACACCATACCCCAGCTTCGCATATGACGTGGACAAATCAGACAGAGAATTCAGAAAACAAACCACGCAGTGATTAGGCAGCCAGTGCTGCTGTACAAACTCAAACCACTGCATTGTTTTAGCCACAAAGATGTTTTTTCATTCTTTCGTCCTTTTCATTTGAAGTATACTGACGGATATAAAGGAATAGTCCAGCGTTTTTCAATCTAATCTGCCTCTTTCAATCTAGTCTGCCTCATCTGTATTGTACAGTAGATATGGATCGAGTGTATTGGATTGGTGGGTCACTAATTCCTCATGTATAACATAGAGGTAGATTACAACAGGCATGTTATTTTGCCATACTAAGAAAAGAACAGAAAACCAGTTAACCTAAAACAAACAGTACAGTACAGTAGAAGCCAGTGGGAAGAAGCTGTGACTGTTGTTCTACTATTAACGTTTTCTGTCAACAGCTTTTCTGTTCTTTTCTAAGCACTGGGAAATTTTATCCAAATTATTTTTTGTGGTTATTGACACGCTGTAGATGCAACAGATAGAGATCACGTTGAAAAACACTGGAGTATTTCTTTAACGAGGACATTGTGCTGAAACATTGGGCTGTAAACATTTCCGCTCTCTGGTGATGGAAAATTAAAGAAAAGAGTTTTTAATGTTAATTTAGATTTTAGATTATTTGTGATTGTTTTATCTGTTTTATTTAGAGCTAACTGTGCTATTTAATACATCCTTTTCTGAGCACTTGTAGTGAGAATAACTGTACACTGCACAAAAAGTAATTAAATTTAGATAAGTCTACCTATAGTGTTTCATCAGCTCGGAAGCATAGATGTCGGAATTTTAAACCATGTGCTCTCTAGATGGAAATGAGCTTCCAGACAAAATGTGTTCTTTTTCTATACGTTTTCTGTTCGGACCCCATCCTCTCAGTGAAATGAATAGCCTTATCAAAGATTAAGCTGAGAAGGCCCTTTCACACATCTGAATGGTCCGTAAGTGGAAACAAAAGTGTGTCTGTCATGAGCTCAGCCTCTTTGAGAATCTCACGGCTCCCTCACAAAGAACTCCTCTTTCAATCAAGCTCTGCACCTGCTACTAGCCACACTGCCATTGAGGACACATTTGCTCACATGCGCGCGCGCACACAGACTCGCTTACTCTCTCTTGCCTAGTCTCCCTTGGATATTTGGATATTTGTGTACATGCTCCCTCTCTCCCTCTCTCTCTCTCGCTCTCTCTCTCTCTCTCTGGTTATACTGCCATTCAGATGCACTGGACAGCAGTTGCAGTGACTGAAGCAGTCGAGTGCGCTCAGAATGTGTTTAATGTGTCCCAGATGTGAGCTCAGCCCTGCCAGAGGGTGCGAGCCAATGAGACTTAACCGTTTGAGTTAAAGAAAGAACCACGTCCTGTTTGTCCACCTGCACAAAGTTTTCTTTATGCACTGAAGTGTGCATGCGTGTGTGTCTGGAAGGTGGGAAGTGAAAGGGTTGTTGTGGTCTCAGCGCGCTCCTTTGAGTGGAATTTCTGACTCTGGAGGTGTTCAGCTGAATGGTGCTCTGTCAGTCTTTCTGACTGCCGTGTTCTGTACTGCTGGCTTTTCTAACTCTGCCCGTGTCCTCCCAGGCGCCGTCCGTCATGGCTTTCCCTGCCACAACTCCCACAGGCATGATGGGATACTCAATGGTAAGTAGCAGCAGTCACTAAGCATCATAGACACGCACACACATGCACATCTTACGCCACAATCAGACCATACTCAAGAAAAATTTGCCAGGTGAAAAAGACTTTGGTATGAAAAATTTTGAATATGCAAGTGTTTGTTTATTAAGTTGGTATTTGATTCTCTATTTAGTATTCATAAGTCTTTTTTTGTGCCACAAACATTGTGGCATACACAAACAACTGCAGGCATTTTTTCATCAAAAATTAAAAAATGCCTTTACACAGAATAGTTAATATATGTACAATAAACTATAGCTAGTTTAGTTAAATGAGTCATAACTTTATGCCAGGCATTAATGTCACCTTGTCTTGGTGTAACAAACTGCATTGCTTTATATCCCATTAAAGCTAAAAGAACAAAGAAATCACATGTGGGAACACTTTAAATGATGAAAACAAATGCTCAGTGCAGAACTTGTGATGAGGTATACTGTGGAGACACAAGTAAATCAAGATAAATCATCTTAAATATGAAAGTATGGTTATATTTATCAGAGTACAGCTTTGTAGTCTACTTGCCTTACTCCACTCCAATTGATGTTGGTTAATTTTTGCTGTCCGATACATTGTTGCCACCTACTAGATTTAATTGCGGTAAGAAACATACTTAAAATTATAGTTAATTATGAAATATAGACATTATTGTTGAGAACAAGCATTTGGATGCTTGTTTTCGAAAGGCCAGAGAGTATTTTATTCCTGTAAAATGCTGCTCAGGCCAGTCCTGTAACACTGACAAGGTCATTTGCTTATGGAAGCAGTTCATTTCAGTTCACGTTGATTTCAGCTAAGCTTTTGATTTAAAATGCTGTTCTCATTTATTTCCTAATAACTGGTGCCTATAATGTCTTGGTGTGGTGTGTCTCAGGGGTCATAATGCTGAAGATCTCTTATCTTTGCTCTTACAACTACCACAAGCATAGTTTTCTCTGGGGAAAGAGACCCCTCTTCAGAATTCGGTTCTGCTTTGTTTTTGTAGGGGGACGTGCTACACAGGGTAGGCCTACTCTGACTGCCCAGCTGTTGTAATAGCTTGATTAGGATTTATAGGTAATTCATCAGAAGTAGAAGACACCACTGACAGTGGACGATGAATCCATGGGTTGTACCGGTCATACAACTGGCTCATGGAGTGGTAGTTTTGGCAAAAGTATTAGCTGAAAGAGAATACTTGAATATAACACGGTCAGGGCTTCTAGAGAACCTTGTTTTCATGAGAAGGGAAATATATCTGCCTTCTAGACTGCAGGTGTTGGTGTGCAATAGGGAATAGACCCATGATTCTCAACTCCCCCACCTGCCCAGTTTCAAGTACTCCCTGTCCCAACACGCTTGATCCACCTCATGTAGGGCTTACTAATTAGCTGATAAGATGAACCAGGTGCATTTGGGTGGGATTTCTTGGAACTGTGCAGGATAGGGGGTCCCCAGAATGGGAGTTAGGAGCCAGTGGAATAGACCAACTACAGTCTAAATTGGCTATAATGTCAATAATGGGAGGAGAAATGCTTAATTAATTAATCACTTGATTAACAGGCTGCTGGATTATTGAATTATTCTTCTGACGGCGGATTGACTGTACAGTTTAAGCTATAACAAAGCAGAGATCCAAAACTCTGAAGAATGCTCTGAGGCTGAAGCGCATCTTCTTATTGACAATCCACTTACTTTTGCTGTTCATAGATTGTAGTCTGTATTTTCCACACTGCACAAGCTGCAGATTTCTACTGTCATAACTCCTGTTACACTACATGACTTGTCTTTCTAGAATGACTTTGAAATGCTTGTGAGTGTGTGTGTGTGGGGTGTTTGTCCAATATGAAGTCTAGAGATAGTTTTGCAAAGTGTCTGAATGAGTGCCATTGTTTCCTTTACATCTAGCTGTGTAGTGTTGTAGTATTGTAGTGGGTGTAAAAACTGGAATAATTCAAGGCGTAGTTTCAGTTGCAGAGTCGCTTAGACTGATGTTCTGGACTCCTCGAGCACAAGCTTTTCTTCATGGAGCACAGGCTCGAGCTAATGGTTAACAGAGAGAGCAACATGTTGGCAAGGTGCTGCTATGTGGCTCTGCATCATCGCTTATGTAACCTCTGTTCTGACTCATCCCACCGTTACCAGAACACACACACATTCTCTGCTTTAGGGTCAGTGTACAGATACAAATTGATCATATAATCATTGCTGATCTTGTCATTGTCTTTCTGGAAGGGTGGTGCTAATTAATGTTTAGTGTCCTATGTGCCAGAGGACTAACTGTGTACTGCAGTTATTCTAGAACATATACACAATGACCGACCAGGAACGAGAGATTAATTAGCTCATTTTTGTTAATTGTTTTTCTCCTGATTGTTAAAAATATCAGTATATAGCTGTGAATTGGAGGCTTTGTGTTGTTGATGATGATAAAGGATTATTTCAAAGAGACTGAATGTGACTCCTTTTTTATTCTGTGCACCTGTGTGACATGGGAGATCTGCTTTGGGCAGCAGTTAAGCGGTAACTAGAGACAAATGAAGCAAGAACAGAACATGTACATATTATGTCAGCCAGGAACCTGCAGAACTGTACGCCCTGGGGTTTGTTAGAGAGGATAACAGTTTTCTTTACTCTACTTATTTACCTCATTTTGTGTGAGTGCTGTCTAACAGTGATGGTAACCCTAGTGATGATAATTAGGGATGCACAGTAACATTTGTATATCAGTATCGGCAGATAATTCCTTAAAATCGCTGGTATCCAACAAATATTGAGTTGATCCACTGATGTAAATAATTATCCGCTAACCGACAAATAAACAATTGTTCAATGAATGCAATTAACATGATGCTAAGTGCTATAAAAAACAAATCAAAACAAATCCTGTTTGAGTAGGTAGGTTTGTCCTTCAAGTTGAAGAACAACTTTGAACTGTAGGTGTCAATCATATTTATTATATATTCTTTTATTTTTTTTAGCTTTTGGTCATATGATTATCAACCTTTTTGTTTTAGTTGCCAGCCAAGAAACTGATTCTTATATTGAGTATGTTTAATATAGGCCACACGGCTGGACTCGGTGCTATATTCCATTCAAGGAACACTTTTTTTTTTATTTCTTCGTGTGTAAATACAGAATTCAGTTGATGTTTGCTCATAAGGATGCATATAGAAAGTATTTTACAATGGTTTCAACGTAACTCAAAGTCGGATATCAGGACTTGTTTCATAATTGATATTTTTGAGTTGTGTCCTTGATTTAAGGCTTAAACGGTTAGTTGCTGACTAATGAAGGTCCGTTATCAGTTTCTGTGTTTTATAATGTTGGTGTATCTGCATCGGCCCACAGTTTCCATATCACACCGTCAATAGTGTTGTTGTTGTTGTTGTTGTTGTTGTCGTTGTCGTTGTTGTTGTTGTTGTTGTTGTTGTTGTTGTTGTTAATAATACTAAGACTAATAATAATAATTGTAAGTTTAAAGCCTTCCTTAAATTCAACGTTGTTTTACAATATCATTCAACAGGAAAATATGAAAGGACAAGCTAAAAGGAGCAGTCAAGCACGCAAACATAACTGTCAATCAAGAACAAGAAGGGCAAAGATAGCATTGTGAAAACTGTGTTATGATGACACTGAAACGAATATCACAGAGAAAATAATTGCAGGAATTAATTGCAAATGGAGCCATAATACTAAAAAATAAATGCCACTCTTAGAAGAGAAGTCTAAACTTGGGGCTAAAATTGGGAGCATTTAACCAAAAGCCCCAAAAATACCACTGCTCTGAATGACCGGTGTACAACCAATTAGAAAACTTTATCTGTAAAATCTGAGAATATCCGGTGATGGTTTAGTTCTTTTGTGTTTGGGATGAGGTTGATGATTGTTTTGACTATCTGCTTGCTTGTTTGTCGCTCCAGCCACCCCAAATGGCCCCAATGGCCATGATGACGCAGCCCACCATGATGTACACACAGCCTGTGATGAGGCCAGCGAACCCCTTCGGCCCAGTCTCAGGAGCACAGGTATGACCTATATCCTCCCATGCACACTGCTGCCCTGGTGCTGTTTCAGTGTGCCATAAACTTGAATGTTAAGTCCACTTATTCAGACTGTCTATTCTGAATAATCTGAATCTCCTGCCTATTCTGGAAAATCACATGAGAATGTACTTGGATATGCATTGAACATTGGATGTTTCTCCTGAATCTCCATGGAGAAGTAGCATCCCCTGATTGATGGAATTCTATTCCAGGAGCAATAGCAATTCTAGCATTAGAAGCTTTGTTCAGAAAGCGCTTGAATGAATCTCATACACCTCCATGTCCCATTGCAGTGCTCTTCTGAACATGGCTAGCATGGGAACATTAAAGCATCTGTGTTTTTTGTTTTATTTTTCCTTAAAAAAAAAAAAAAGGACATGCATTCCATTTTGGCCCATAAAAGCAAACAAAGCACTCTATTTGGAATGCATATCCTGGTCCAACCACACCTCATTTCTACAGTATGCTAGTGGGCAGTGACTCTGTAATGCTGTCGAGAGAGAGGGGGGTATTGTCGAATGTGCCATTGGCCAGTAGTTTCTTTTTGTTCTTTTAGAAGCCTTAGACAGACCTACTGACCTTCTACTCTCCCCTCTAGCCACTCTGGCTCTATGATATTCACTCTCCTTTGTGTGTGTGCGTGTGTGTGGAGTCCTTCACACTCTCTCGTTCTCTCTGAACTAGCCCTCAGCTGCCTCTAGTCCCTCGAGTCAGAGTCCTCTCAGGCCTCCGGGACAGGACCCTTTTGCACAGCTCTCTCTCAAGGATTTCCTTTAGAGACTCTTTTAGGTACAGCATGCCTGGGCCGTGTGTGTGGTTTATATATGTGCTGCATGTTGATAGTGCCAGGGATGCACCAATCTGCCTGTTTCTATCTGGATACAGATTCTGATACCTGAACTTAGGATAATGGCTGATTATCAATTACCAGGTCTATATATCGTTGCTGTCCAATGAAAACCGTGCATCTCCACCAGCTGTCCTTTACATTGTGTCCTTTACATTACATCATGATAAATGGACCAATAGAAATGCTCTAAAATCACTTGGAACAAAATCTCTTTACATTGACTTACATTGAAAAGGTAAGAGTGTTTTTGCCTTCTCCTGTAAAGTTAATATTTTGGAGATGCTTGTTTTTCATTAGACAACGATGATATGTATGTGCTGCCTATATATAATGTGCTGCTGCGGTTGAAGATTTAATTCCAAAACTGAATGAATTAATGAATAAATACATACATAAATAAATAAATACACACAATGGGGTTGAAAAGTGAAAAGAAACACTTACTTTCTTTTATATTTAATAGTTTTTTTCATTACAAATTATCAGCATAACAATCAGTAGTAAACAGTAGAATCTTTGAAATTTTAAATTTCAGAATTTCTTTCAGAATTTGTCCCTGTTTTTGCTTTAATGACTGATCACTAACAGTGACAAAAGCCTTTGAGTAGATCAAATGCACCTGAGACTCATCTGCTTCAATTGAAGAATAAGACAAAAAAAAAATCTGACCCTTGTGTATAAACATGGTGTCACAAATTTGCTTAAAAGTAATTAGTGATCTGTCAAATTTTCTGTCTTGGTTTTCAAGAATCCCAGATTTTTAGTGTGGTCTCAGTCTGCATGTATGCATATATTTATACTTATACACTAATATATAGTCAACAAAAAATGGTCAAAAAATAATCTTGCATCAACTTACTCTAGAAGTAACACTGCAACTTCTCCTGAAAATATACTTTTTGGAGATACAAGGTTTTGTTTCAACAGCAACAGTAATATATTTCTATTTTAGGAAATTTTGGTAATTAAGGTGAGACAAACTGGAGAAGTATTTCATATTTAACCATTTTTTTTATTTTAGGGCTACAGTGTCTAAGTGCTCAGTGTAGACATTTTATCTATCAAAGTCACCTGAAAATCTGACAGTTTGAATTTGTAAGCCTACATGAAATTAGAAAATGAATTTTTTTGCTGATGAAGTGCGAAGCACAGTTCTCCTGCACAGGGCCTTTATTCTGTTGTGCCATGTCACAAATTTTTAAGAGGGGCTTTTTTGACACACTGTAGCACTTTGTAAACAAAAAAACCCCTGGAAACATTTGTTAAATAAATAGGTTTGACTCTATCTGTGGGTAGAGATTTCAGTTCCATTATAAAAAGTACGAAGTGAGAATTTGATATGTTTCGGAATAACTCTCCTCTATTTTGGACCAACAATATCGATAGTGGATTGATCATGTCTGGCTGATAAAAGGTCGATTTAATAAGGATGGTATCAATATCGATCCAGTGTATCAGATTGGTGCATCACTAGATAGCACTGAGTCTGCTTGTATTAACAGCACTCTTGCTGTCTACACCCTGTTTTTCCTTAATCTGTACTCAACCACTTTTGTTTTATTGTTGTTTATGTAATGTTATGTTACGCTTCTTAGCTTTGGGTTTGAAAATGACTCCTGCTTGAATCTAAGGCTTTGCTGGGGTGAATATTTTTCCCCCTGAAACTGTGATGTTCAGTTACTCCCTATTGCATCATGATGTGATTAGTTTTACCCTGTGTGGTAACACCTGTACAGTCATCTCATCAATCATTACCTTTGCTTGTTCAGTTAATGAAAAAAAAAAAAGCTCTGTTGTTTGGTGTTTAGATTGAATGCACCAATGATCTCTTAATACCCTGACCAGATAATACCCTTCACCGTTTTCATGACCATTGGTACATCATACTGGTCATATCCATCAGTCATGAATTGTCAATTTTCATTATGAAACAAGTCATATTACACTCCTGTGTTAAACACAAGATAATTGTAAACAGTATAACTGTGTTGTTTATGAGCAACAAAAGAAATCATGCCTCAAATGCTGTAGGACTAGAGGTGTTGCTCATGCCTTAAAACAGTGCTACCCAAACATTAGCTTGAAGGATGGCGTTCTGTACATTTGGGACGCTGTAGAAAAATGTTGACCCCGCTTATACCTGGTTGTTTTGTGTGCCCGGAGTATCAGCATTATATTTGGACTGGGATAATCCACATAAAATGCAGCTGTAAATGCACCTAAGATGCATCTACAACAGATTAAAATGTGATCGCTCAACCGCTTCAGGAAATGGTGTGAAAGATATGCAAGTGTGAATACATCAGTCTCTCCAAACCATCAGACAAAAATAACAATTTATTTAAAGACACAAATTCCCAACTTTGCCAGCGTGGACATTTTATAAATGTGGACTGAGCTTTTTTTTCCATTCAACTTGAGCACAAAAAATGTTTGATACCTGAAATGTTGCAAAAATAATAATAAACTACAAAAATAAACTAAATTTTCAGTAGCTGAGCTCATTTTACAATCGAAACACCTCCCAATTAGATTTGTGCCAATATTCAAAATAAGGTATACCACAATATTCCACACACAGTATTGTTATTGTGGACACTAGGATGCATGATGCACTCTTAGGCCCAATCCCATTTCTTCTTTTTACCCTTGTTTTCGAGTGTGGAATTGAGTTACAAGGGGTAATGGTTGAAATCTTGCCCTACGAAATGTCTTCAGTGATAGCAGAGAAGGGAAAAGTTCAGCTCCTCTACACTATCATCATAGTGTATCATATGCTTTCAAAGAGGGGGATATAAAACAATTATTTATTATTGCCCACCACTAAATCTTCGGTGATACGACGCTGAAGTCGGCTATTCATCAAGTTCTTGTTCAAATATTCTCGTTCCACCTTAAATGGTGCAGCAGTTACGTTCTGGTGCTTCAGGTGTCGATACTGCTGGACTATTAGGAAAATTAGCTAACTAGCTACAAAGACATTAGCATGCTAGTAGCGATTTTGTATGCTTGTTATGAAGAAAATGACCATAGTACATTGAAACGACATTAAACTAAGATAATACAATGGTTATCGTGATTTTTTTTTAACTGAGAAAATACTTACATTTGTGGGTTTCTTTGGTCGCTCATGCAGTCATCTTGCCGGTTTTTCTTTTTTTTCTCATAACACTCCGTTTAGACTGTGCCTCTGAAAAACCTCTATTTGGAGGGCCATGTAGCCCTAAAACTTCGCCCTACCCCTCAATCTCAATAAAAAATTGGGACACCCTAACCCTAGACGTGAACGTGCAAAACGGAGGCCTTCAGAAACGAATGAAAACTGCTATGCCGTAATTTTCAAAGACACAAATTCCAAAAATGTAAAGTCACCTTATATTATTGCTATTAAAAAATAACATTAGCTAAGTTTCCATCCAAAGGTTTTGTGAAAAACCTTTTTTTAACGCTTCAGAAACTTTGCTGGTATAGGCTATGGCAGTGGAAATTGTCACTCACATTTTATAAATGTGGACAACTTTATCCTGTTCAACTTTAGCAGAAAAATCATTTATTGATACCTGAAATGTTGGGGAAAAAATAATAATAATAAACCTCAAAAATAAACAATTTCTTTTTCAGTAGGTTATGGGGAAGTCAGGAAATTTTGTAATCAGAGATGGACATGTGACATACAACAGTTCGATTGCTAAACCAGAACTTTTTAGTTAACAGTTTTTAATGAATTTTCATTTTGTCACAAATTGCTTAGAATGTTGAGAACTCAGTGTGAAACAAGTATAGAAATAAATACACCAGACAGTCTCATTCACATATATATATATATATATATATATATATATGAATGACCACATTAAGGCCATTAACCTCTGATTACTGTGATCCAGTTGTGGTGCTCGGATCGTCATCCAAAGACAACACGCGTTTACGCTTGCCATTTTTAAATGTAGCTTCTGTGTCCAGATACTGATTGAATCCAGATAAGTTACCATTTTAATGGTAACTTTAAAATCGGGGCTAATACAGCAGGCTTATTATAGAACATGCAAGGTTGTTTACACTTTGGCCTCTTTTTTTCACTGTAGGGACAAAAGGTGTTGAGCATGGAGCGTAATCATTCCAGCGGCATTTCCATATTGACATGGAACACATACAAACCATGCTCAGAGCCACAGAACTGTTTGAGTGGGACGTCTTAACGATGCAGCTGTGTGCTAATTGGTTCTATACTTATGCTTTTGTGCTCCCACATTCTGCATTATTTCAAGACTGAAAACAATCAAATAAATGGTTCAGTTCACTTATACGGTTGCCAAATAAATGAATGCATTTCACAATTGTCAGGCAATCATTCAATAAATGTCAAACAATCACTAACAGTTGCTAAATGTTAAATGCAAATTTAGCTAGCCTGTAAATAGCTGTGCTCCCCACAGAATGGGTTCAGTTCTGACTAACTGAAGCTACGCAGACACAAGTTTAGAAGGTTACTCAAATCTGTGGGAGCAAAGATGAGCGACTGATGTTTGGATACCTGGTGTTTGGATCTGTAGCTTGCTAGCTAAGCTAACGCATTCGGCTCTACAGAGGAAAACTGGCCTTTGTTTGTGTCAACGCTGATTTGTTGACCATAGTGACATTAGCTATGGCTGCTCATTAATTAGTCTAAACCGCACAGGGAACAGGCCAGAAATGGGAAACGAGGAAGAAGTGCTTGGTTTGTTATGAGCTGATTTGCATATTACGCACCACATAGCAGTCAGATTTCGAGACTACTAACAGGAGATGGGTTTGACCACCAGATGTTAAATGCATATCAGGATATCATGATACAATCCAGATACCAGTCGCATGAAATGACCAGGTGTACTCGGGCTCTTTTGATTTTCTGCATCATGCACACCACTCACATTTGGGCAGTTCTGAATTGAGACACTACTGAGTAACGTGGGTTTGTCCTCTTGCAGATGCAGTTCATGTGAAGGCGCAGCGGGTGTGCGCTCCCTGAGGACGAATCACACAGCAGCCAATCTCAAACCTTTAATCTGTCCCCCAGTTCGCTGTTTGACTCCACGCAAAGTGTGTGGCCCCAGTACTCAGACAGGAACCAGGGTGGGGGGGGGTGGGGTTGGGGACAGGGGAGGGGCTATTTTGGGCTAAAAGGGTGGGAGTGGATGGTGTGTACGGTGAGAGCCATCATGCAGTCTGGCGAGTGTTTTGTAATTTGTCTAACAGTAACAGCTGCAGTTGTTTCCCCTGTACAGGACTGAATTCTGACAGATTAGCATCTGTAAAGACACACGTTTTGTTTTTGTTTTTTTTTGTTTTTTTTGATTGGGGGTGGGGTTATGGAGAAGTCTGCAAAGACAGTGGGAGGGCTTCAAGTTCTAACTGAGGGGGGTAAAAAATGACCAGGCCTTGGGGGGGTGGGTGAGTTCTTTCTTTCTTTATCTGATCAGCAATCATGCATTACATAATTTAACCACCACCATTTAAATATGCTGACTTCAGTTTCTACTATGATTTTTATTCAGTTTTTTTTTTATTATTGCAGTAGACATTCCTTGTGTATTGTTTGTATTTATTTATGATTTACCCACTGAGGACATGACAACAGAAAAAATAATGACTATATGGAGCTCTTTCCTTGTGGGAAGTTTGTAGGAATATGCTTTCATGGGTATGATTGTTGAATTGGATTTTGAGAGTGACTGAGATGATGATGATGATGATAATATAAAAAAATGAAACCACCTCTAAACTGAATGATAGAGCACTAAGTTTTCTTTGACCCCCATTTATTGTCTAGTGCAATTCTTTGTAGCTCAGAAACTCGCCCCCCGGCATTTGTAAGGGAAATGGCAGGGGTGCATACAATTTATTAATCCACATAGTCGATTCTGTGCCTAGGGTTTTTTTTTCTCGCGAGGGAACATTTATCAGACTAGCATCACTACATTTGTGATTCTGCAGCATTGCATTGGGGAGGAGCTGTGTTGCTTTACGCTTGGCATGTCATTATTTTACATGGACGATTATACGGCTGCCTTTTCCAACCTGAATGTGCGGAGTTGCCTTCATGCTTGGGCCATCTTTCCCTGCACGGGCACCAAGGGCGCCCTTTGCTAAAGTAGGAGCACAGGGAAAGCCGTGCATGCGTCACAGGTTGCCATCATCAGGATGGGGTGGGTAGTGTCTTTGTAAATTAGCAGTAGGTGCAGTAGAACAGGAGCGAGAGAAGCACTGTTGATCGGTGCTTTGTGTAAATAAACCCGAACCCTGTCCAGTAGAGGAGCGTGTGAAGGATGGTCCCAATATGAAGGTGATTCTATCCATTGATTTAGCATATTTGCTGCATTGTCCCTGCAGATTCTATTTTTGTTTATATATATATAAAAAAAATTGTATGTGAGCAGAATTTGGTTGATTTTCAAATAAAAGAGCAGCTTCCACAAAAGTGAGTTTGTTTCAATAGTCATTTTTACACAGTATTATAGTTGGGAGATTAGCCTTTTTAAAGGGTGGGATGGTCTCTACACTTAGAATTAACCGCATTTTTTTGCAGTTTATTTATTGCAGGAAGGATTTATTAATCCTTTATTAATTTATTAATTTACTTTTTTGCACCATTCGAAAATGCAAGCTTCCCTTTCTATTGTGTGAACATTACATGAACAGCAATAGTCTTATTTGGAATTGAATAGCTTTACAAACATCAGAGACCACCCTTCATTTGTTTAATTTCTAGTTAAATCAGTTTTAGTATCAAACAGAGCAGAAAACATGTTTAACAGAATAACACACAAGCCTCAACAACTTAATGCAATGCCAAATGTTATCAGTATTTTTATCAGTACGTTAAACAATGTTGGTTAGTCTATTGTTCTGAGATGACGAGCAGCTGCTTTGATATGCAAATGTTCTTTTTTTGTTTATTTTCTTTCTCAGTAACAGCTTCCTGACATTCTTTCAGATCCACAGCACTGAGTTGTCTTCTCACAGTGGAAAGATGGATAGAAACACCTGTGGATTGGTTCTGATCTAAAGCAAAAGTGGAGCTTGATTTTCTCCCCCCCCCCCGACATGAAAGCTGTAGATACTGCTTATTTAATAGTGACAGTTCTGGTGGTCTTGCATGGTTGTTATGAGTCCCTTTTTCTGTGTGTCTAGCTGTTTTGACTGGAAATTAAGTAAATGAAAGGTCACTTAATTTTGCACTGTTCATTAAAGTTACGTTTTTTTCTTGTCTTTTAAAGTTACCATCTCCGAGATAGCGAGGTTTCGTGACGTCAAGGAAAATGTGCTATGTAGTCTGAGGTTTTAACAGATTAGACAGTGAGTAGACAGAATTGGTTCCTGTAACAGGAAACCAGTGATGTTTTTATGCTGTGCGTTTACTGGAACTTGCTCCGGATGGTACGAGTGGTAAGTGCCCAGTCTTGTGTGTGTGAAGGTCCAGTGTGTGTCGACATGGCTAAATCCTCACTGTCAGAGGGTGAAGGGTACAGGGTCACGGCCTGACCCACCACGCTCAACAGCTTCTGCTCCAGCGGACCCAGATGCAGCAGCTCCTACACACACAAAAACACACACACAAATGCGCAGGATGCAAACTTTTTGCAGGGTTCTCTTCTGGCTACACAAACAAGGAGAGTGACTATTCCTGGGCGATGCCAAGCCCATCTGTATTCCTGCCACTGCCAGGCAGGAGGAACTGACAGTGGGAGGAAAAATAGATACTGAGTTTCTCACTTATCTCTGAGCTTCTGCACTTATCTCTGATACTGTTATGCTCCAGGGGCTTGTTAAAACCATTAAGTGCATTAGTACAGCTATTTGACCAAGTACAACCAGTTATTCCTTTCTGGTTGGTAGTTCCTCAGAAACCACATAATGCTTCGAAATATCTAGATATAAGGTTGATTGCCCATGGATTAGGCCCAATCTTGGATTAAATTGCAGTGCCGAAGGTGAATCGTGATTGGAAATTCTTTTAAGTCTAGGCTTATGCTTAAACTGTGGGGGGAAACTGGCCCACGGTGTGCTTTTAATCATCACAAATTCATTGTCAGACTCAGTAGGCCTTGCTATAAGCCTGATTTACTGAGCAGATGGTGTATAAACTTTGGTAGAAGAAAAGCTTTTTAATCATGTGCCCGGTATTTGACAATATTGTTAAAGCTAGTATGAGTTGCCCCTTTGCAGAGTGAAACCTCAAAAGAAGTAGTATGATGAGGACCTCTAACCAGGCTGCAAAATACATACAAAATATTGATTACATTGCTGTGTTATGACTGACGTGCCTTGTATTAAAACCTTATTAGCACAATTGTAATGTGGCTGTAATTAAAGGTCGCGTGCATTGTGTTAGACCAAATTTACATTTATTGGTTATTTGAATGCCTAATTCATCAGAATGCAGACGATCACGTGAGATGCTCATAGTGCATAACTGGGTGATTGCGTACTATTTGGGTGCCATTTAATATTGTTCAACATACTTTAAAAAAAATATACATGCTTTAACCATTCAAAAGCATTTTTTTTCTTTCCTATTTTTGTTCTTTGGTGGCAATGGCATAAATTAGTGAGAAGGGTTGAGATATTTAGCACAGTATTAGCATTTTAGCAGTTTATTATCATTTTTGTTAATACTTTACTTTCAATCTATAATTTAGGTAACAGGGTCGAACTTTCAGAGTAACCTAATCAGTCAATATCACTGAAAATAAGTGGGAATATATACTTTTCTTCCTCCTATGATCTTTAAATCATATGATGCATCTTGTGTTATCTTTTCCACAATATTTTAATAATTATATTTCAAGGTAAGGTGAGGTTATAGTGGGCTGGATGTGTTGTAAAGATTAATGTCTTTATTAATGTCTGTTATTCATCTGCAGCATGCAAAAGTTTGAATATCTCCAGTTAAATTACATGTTGACTTTCTAAGTGACAAAATTTACTCATCCCCTACAGTTAACAAAATTAAATATGGCTACTGCTAATTTCTGTTTATTTGCTGAGTTTAACACATTAGAATAAAAGTAAAACAAAATAAAACTGATGCAAAATCCATATCTAGTTCAAGCAGTTTTTGTTTAGAGAGGCTAATAACTCACCCTGAGGTCGTTCTGGCTGCCATAGAGGAGCACGGTGAGGTCGTGGGGAGGGGAGGAGGGCTTGCAGCTGGGATCTGTTTTATCCTTCTCCAACTCCACAGCCTGCTTTCGCTGTGCCCCCCTAGCTTCCGATTTAGAGTTGGGGGGAGGCAGGGGGGCGCTTCCCGGCTCTGCTGAGAAACATAGATCGCTACTGACGGAGGGGTGAGGAGAGATGCTAATCACCACCGGGAACTGTGTATGTCCATCTTCTTTACCCTGTTGATCAGTGATCAGGACCCCTACACAGTGGCACCAGTGTTGCTAGAGTTTTTAAACAGCTCAGTGCTACTGCTGGGCTAAGAATAGTCCACTAACCAAAAACACCTCGACAAGAGCATCCTGTGACCAGAAACTGACCACTGATGAAGGACTAGAGGATAACTAATATAAACTACTACAGATGAGCTATCACCTCTATTTTTATATCTAAAGTGGACCTTTGAGGTAGGTGTGTCTAAGATAACAGACTGTAAGTGGACACAGTGTTTAACAACTCCAGCAGCACTACTGTGTCTGATGCACTTGAAAAATGGACTGAAATCTGTAATTATAGAGCACCTATATGGTAAGGGAACTGATAAAATGGACAAACAGTGTACCTAATGAAGCAGGCATTGAGTGTATATGGAAAGGCTACAGCTGATCCATTTCACATTTCAGTGATGTAGAAGCTACATTAAAATACCTAATTAAAACTCTGGTTCAGTCAAAAATCAAATGTATAATTTTGCCCCCTATCCAAAATGAAGCCTATCTGCCAAGGCATGCTTACTTCATTTCTGCACTGGGTCTAATGAAAGTGTATGCCCACAAATAAGCATTGTGCATAGGATTAGCTTGGGGTAAATAGAAAATAGTGTAAATTTGTCCAGACTTGTCATAGACTATACACTGTGATAGTATTGCAGTGTACACCTGTTAATTGTAGATCTGTTAACCAAAATTAATCACTGCAGTTGCTTCAACAATCAAAATACTATTTAATTTTTTAAACATAATCAGAATTTATCAGTTTGAGGCAACTGAGCGCTGTGTTGGTGCACAATTCGCTGTCAAACTTTATCCTATATTGGAATCTCTTTGAGGCAAAGCAGTCATGAAATCCAGTGGTCACCAACCTTGCTCCTGGAGATGTACCTTCCTCTAACCCCAGGGTAATGCATCTCACTCAGCTAATCAAGAACTTCTATAAGTAATAATTAGATCAAGTGGAGGGGATTAAGGGATTGGGGTTGGAGTAGGAAGGTAGATCTCTAAGAGCAGGGTTGGTGACCACTGGTTTAATCAGTTAAATATGGTCACTGTAAAAAAAAAAAAATGTATCTCATTTTTTTAAGTTTTCTACATCATTTAATCTCTGGAGCTGTCCTTTATTGTCCTTAATTCCATGATGAATGGACCAATAAAAATGCTCCAAAAAATAAAGTCATTGCACATTAACTTACATTTAAAGTTAAGATGGTTTTGCCATCTTCTGTTAAGTCCGTTTTGGGGGCCTTTTACATTACATGAGAATAATGCTGAAAGCTGTGAAGACAAAAAAACTGCTTCTTCTACTCTCATTCTAAAACGAATTGATTTTTCACTTGACAAAAAGCAACAGGCGGGACTTTTATTTTGAAATTGCAAGCTTTATCCAACTACAACTCTCTGGGCGACCTCTTGTGGTCTGTGACGTGTATCACAGCAACTACTGAGTGAAATCACATGGACGGATCACCTGCTGTCTCTATGAGAGCGAGTTTCTGCACAGACTGTTCCAGACCGGATGAGTCCATCTGCTCCAAGCCTGCGGCCTGCGTGAGGAACACGTTCCTGCAGTAGAATACAGAGCATGACAGGCCAGATTAGAATTTAGCTCAGCCTACAGTATTTCCAGTACCTGTCCTGGAGAACCCATCATCAACACACCATTGTGTTTTCCTTAATACACCTGATTTAACTCATTAGGCCGGGGGTTGGGGGTACTTCACAACACAGGATGACCAAATAAACTGGATAACTTAAGCCAAAAGTTGAGGACTGTCTGGTAGTAATGTTCCTTAGCTTCTATTGGACAGGCTAACCGAGAAATCCTGATTTGTGAAATGAACCTCTGAGGAGTACATTCTGTAAACAAAAGACACATACACCGGTCAGGCATAACATTATGACCACCTCCTTGTTCTACGCTCAATGTCCATTTTATCAGCTCCACTTACTATATAGGTGCACTTTGTAGTTCTACAATTACAGACTGTAGTTCCTCTATTTTCTCTGCATACTTTGTTAGCCCCCTTTTACCCTGTTCTTCAGTGGTCAGGACCCCCATAGACCCTCACAGAACAGGTACTATTTGGGTCCTGACCACTGAAGAACAGGGTAAAAGGGGGCTAACAAAGTATGCAGTAACACTGGCGTGGTGGTGGTGTGTTAGTGTGTGTTATGCTGGTCTGAGTGGATCAGACACAGCAGTGCTGCTGGAGTTTTTAAACACCTCAGTGTCACTGCTGGACTCAGAATAGTCCACCAACCAAAAATATCCAGCCAACAGTGTCCTGTGGGCAGCGTCCTGTGACCACTGATGAAGGACTAGAGGATGAACAACACAAACTGTGTAGCAGCAGATGAGCTATCGTCTCTGACTTTACATCTACAAGGTGGACTGACAAGGTAGGAGTGTCTGATAGAGTGGACAGTAAGTGGACACAGTATTTAAAAACTCCAGCAGCACTGCTGTATCTGATCCACTCATGCCAGCACAACACACACTAACACACCACCACCACGTCAGTTACTGTAGTGCTGAGAATGATCCATGACCCAAATAGTATCTGCTCTGTGAGGGTCCATGGGGGTCCTGACCACTGAAGAACAGGGTAAAAAGGGGCAAACAAAGTATCAGAGAAACAGATGGACTACAGTCTGTAACTGTAGAACTACAAAGTGCTCCTATATAGTAAGTGGAGCTGATAAAATGGACAATGAGCGTAGAAACAAGGAGGTGGTCATAATGTTATGCCTGATCAGTGTATGAATGAATGAATGAATGTCTACTTTATAACCTGAATAACGCCAATAGGTAGAAATATGTATCATATATGATCCCATATGTGGACGCTTTGTAGCATAGTTAGCTAACACTCGTGTGAATTCGTACCACTCCTCAACAGGTGATGAAGGAGGGGTTATATGATTGTAGGAGGGGAAAGAACTCTGAGAACTTGGGTGGATTTTTGCCAAACCCCCCCACCCGGTATGAACAGAAGCAGGCCTAAGAAATAAGACTGAGGAACAAGGAGCAGATGGGGGTGTATAGAGTAAGATGACTGTTGTTGACCACACCAGATGGAGACATTTTTGGTCAGCGTCTTCACTCACATAGTCTCTATCTTAGCTTATTACATGGTATCATTAGCGTTTTATGGAAAAGACATAAAAAATAGAAATATGTTTCTTAGTTTCTGTGTTTTTTGCACTACCATGCTGTGACTAGCCAAAATCTCAATCCTGCTGGAACCTGCTTTAACTGGACCTCCAGGTTGAGAACTGCTGACCCAGAGAATATGACAGATGGCCAAACCTTTGTCACTACACTCAGCGTTACCTTGATATCTGCAGATCATTAAGGCGATGCTCGAAAATTTGCTTCATGTGCTCCAAGTTCTCCCCCTCTAGTCTCCTCACCGCTGTGTCCATTATAGAGACTTCCTTATGGTAGATAACAAGCTGACATGGAGCAGAGCAAAAAAAAAACAGTTTATTTCTGTTACATCTGTATCAATTTGCCTTTGAAAATAAGGGATTTGCCAAAATGTAGGCTGCTTAATTATTTGAATTAGATTATATGGACGTCTATACCTCTCGCTTAAGCCAGTCATTCTCTTTGATCTCCTGGCAACTGGATTTGTCCAGCTGTTTTATTGCTCTCTGAAACAGAACAAGGGTGCCATTATTGCTGGGGCAATGCATATTCAAACTCTGCTACTTTATATGCATGAAGTTATTTGCAGATATGTTTTTATTTTACCTCCGTAGCCCGCTGCTTCTTCTCATCAATCAGCTGAGATGTGTTCTCGTCAATTTTATTGAAAGTGGCATCCAGAGAATGCTTGATATTTTCTGTGGTAAACAGATTTGTTTTAAATTGGACAGAGCTACACAGCCTGCCATTTATTTATCAAACTACACCAAGGAGTAAGCCAAGCTCACAGTTCAGCTTCTGTGTGGAAACTGTATGTTTGTTATTGTAAACGTTTTCACAGCTATTTTCACTGGGCAGTCAAAATGATAATGTTTTCTACAACATATTAGTGACACTTTATTTTGAGTGGTCTTTCTTAGATTAAACACTCAACGGACTCTCAGTAACATGTCAAAAACATATGAGGGTTAGGATTAGGTTTTGGGTTGAGGTTAGGGTTAGGTTTAGGATTAGGGCCAGGGTGAGGGTTAGGATTAGGTTTTGGGTTGAGGTTAAGGTTAGGGTTAGGATTAGGGTCAGGGTTAGGATTAGGGTCAGGGTTAGGATTAGGTTTTGGGTAAAGTTGGTAAGGTTAGGTTTTGCGTAATGGAAGTGTCACTGTTTCCCCTTGTTCCTGTGTCTTTTACTTTGGTGAGGGAGAAAGGGTGGAGCACAAGAACCAAAACAAAAACACAAGCACATGGTAGAAAGCACATGGCTAAAAACAGAGCAAGTAAAAGACACAGGAACAAGGGGAAACCGTGACAGGAAGTAACATATTAACAACACATCTACTTAATGTAAGTAATGTATCAACAGAACATCTACAAGATATTTACTTCAATGTATTTAGATGCTTCACTACTGCTACTTCAGTGATATGTTGTTGATGTGTTACTGATAATTTGTTAAGAGTTTATTAATCATCTACAAAGGGCCGCTCCAAATAAAGTATTACCAATGTACTTGTATGTATTATATTTTAAGTATTTTGAAGGACCTGTAGCTTACATTTTACATTTTTTCCTCTTTACAGCTTTTCTCCATTTTGCATCTTAATTTCCACATGTGGGTCATATGGACCAGGGAGTACATGCCACTATCTGAAACTTTACATGTTTATATACTAGCTCAAACTCTTTTATTTAAAAAAAATCCATGATACAGCCTCTTTAATTGAATGTAAAATGTAGTTTTATCCTCTATATAAGAAACTATGTAACAATAAACATATAGACTCTATGATGGTGCACACCTGACATCTCCTCAAAGCTCTTCTGCAGAGCGGTTAGTTCTGACTGCAGGTTCTGGATCTGCTGCTGATGCTCGATGCTCCCCACGCTCTTATAGTGCAGCCACACCTGCCGTTCCTTCTGGCACTCTGTAACCTGCAGCTTCAGGTCTTCCAGCTTCCTGCGCAGCTCTCTCACAAACACACACACACATTAAACCTCAACAATCTACATTAGTTCTTCATTTCTTTCTCAAAACTGCGAAGAAAAGCAAACCGCAGCTTAGAAGTACTGCTGGCGGCCATCACTGTTTACCAGAGGTCATCCACTCTGGCCCTGAAAGGCTGATGCTCATCACAGTTTGGTTATTTCCCTCGTCTAACAAAAGTCTTCCCAAACTTTGTTACTCCAGGACATACATGTACAGGGGGTGTTTGTCCCAAGACCCACCAAAAATTAGTGAAATAAGACATACTCATCAAAAAAGCCCTGGAGTCCTTAAGCTTTAGTCCAATTGTACTCAATACTACTGTTCTTTTGGTCAACAAGTCTAGTAAATATATTTCATATTTGGTTACTGAGTTGAATCAGGCATGCTAAATGAGACTAAGCACAAAAATGTGCTAAGTGTGGGGTTGCCAGGACTTGGATTGGGATCCCCTGGTCTATACTACTAAATACTTAATAATACTTCCAAATATTTAGTCATAATTCATTCAGCTTACCTTCAGTATGAACACATCAATACATTCAATTTATATGTAGTTGCACTTTACATGTCTTTAAATGTATCCTGATCTATGTTGTCAGCTAACTTCATAGGTTTAAAGGGTCCTCTGATCTGCTTTTAGCAAAACAATCTCACCAGGAAATCGGTTGCGAATGATAAATGGTAGCATTTTGTACATGTTTGTAGTTGCATGAAAAAAAGTAAAAATATCATGTAAAAGTACAAAATACAGACTCAAGCATGATAACCACGCATCCCTTCCGCCATTCATGAAACACTCCATAACTGCACTTCATGTATGTGATTGTATGGAAGCAGCAGCGGAGCAGAAGTGGAGTGGTCGCCTCTGATCTAAAATGCTCTTCACTAACTCCCCTTTTATGGAAAAGAAAAAAGGATTCACTGGTCCAGCTTCCTCACGACCCACGGTTTGGCAACCACTTTCTCTAACTACATCTCCTCAGGTACCTTCCACTGATCGGCCCTTTAAATTTCAAAGACAGGTGGTGCTTTGATACTATATATTTTCAGTCTTTAAAATAAAGATGTGAGAACGTTATTGGGATCACTGCTATAGAACAACCACTTCTGGTTGCTTAAAGAATAATAAGAACCTTTTTAGTGTAATGAACCTCGATGTAATGCACTGTAGCCAATACCAACAAAATGGATTTCTCAAAACCGCAGCATTACTGACATAGGCGAAGGTCTTGGTGTCCCTTGTCAATTTAACATAGAGGGGGGCAAAGAGAAATAAATAACATAAAATGTGACGTGCTTCGTGTCACGTGCTGTTATGGCACATTTTATATTTTATGTTTGATTTTTTCCAATATGTTAAATCAGCAGAGAAATAGACATTGTGCACTAAAATTTGCAGAAAAATTTCATATTTAAGTTTGTTCCATAACCTTTCAGAGGTTAGGGTTTCACTTAGAAAATCAACAATGTATGTTATTTGGCCAGGGGTGTTCAAACTTTTGCACCTGTTTATTAAGGTTCTTTTAAAATATTCACACTCATACAACTTGTGTTACAGTTAGTCTTTAAAGAACCATCATTTGAAAGCTTCTTTAGAGAACCAATAGTAGTTCTTTTAGGGCAGGTATGACAAACTGGCAGAGGTGAAAACAAGTCACTAAGTTGCAAGTAACAAGTAAGTCTTCACTCAACACTCAAGGCCCGAGTCAAGTTAGTTGAGCCTCAGTTCAAGTCCCAAGGCAGTACAGGCGAGTCTGAAGTCGAGTCCCAAGTCAATAGTCCTAATCTTCGAGTCCTAAAGGGGTCAGTCTGCATTCTTCAGCTAATTTAAGGCCATAACACTGAGTACTGGTAACAATATAAAAGCCTTTTAATGACAGCATGTTAGCAGTGTATGGCTGTATATTGATTTTTTATTCTTATTATTTTTTTACCCTTCCAACCAAAATACAAAGTCTGTCAGCTTCTTATTCTTAATTTTTTCTTAGGTTCCACCTTAACTGGTTCTGGCGTCTAACTGCTGCACCATTTAAGGTGGAACGACGAATTCCATAAACAATGAATCATTCAAAGTCATGATGCATAAGTCCATGTCAGATTCCAAGTCACTGGTTGAGTCAAAGTTGAGTCCGAAGTCCTTCTCAGTTTTCTTGAGTCGAGCCTAAAGTCAATAAATTCATGACTCGAGTTGAACTCGAGTCCAAGTCATATGACTTGAGTCCACACCTCTGCATACTGGGTTCCTTCTGGCTCACAGCTCTGTGGAGATTAGTTTTTCCTCTAAATTCACGAAGGCCCTTCCTGATATGTTGTGTTTACTGAGTGTGTTTAGTGAAGCAGGACACTGAATTCTGCAGGGCTGTGGCCCAAGAGGACTGAAGTCTGACATGTGTCCTATGACGTCACTCCAAAGAACATTTTTGTACTATCCTGTCATCTGAACTTGCCCAGAAATGCCTCAGTCATCTTGCTGTATTTCTTTCAACACTTCAGCAGTTATATTTTATAGACTTCTCTGAATGTCACTTTAGAAAATAAATGGACCAAAAAAAGTTATTGAACCCTTTTGGTTCCTTGAATCCTTGAATAACCTTTCAAAGGATGATTCTTTGCGAGTTTGGACCATGTCTTTGACATATGGTTGCAGTATGAGAAGAGACTGTATGACTGCAGTAACATTAAGAACTTGGGCTGAAGTTCTGGGCAGCTTGTGCTTTGAGCAAGAAGGCCAGAACCCCACTTTTGGATGAACAGAGGTAGGACTGACACATAGAGCCACGGAACAGGGGAGATGAGGTGCTGGCGGAGTGTTAGAGTAGAAGGAAGGTTAGATTGGAACAGAGATTGGAAGGGCCTTCAGGCATGGCACACCTCCCAAACTTCAGTTATTCTATTTGTAAAAAAATGTTTGAGTACAAAGAACCTTTTAAAGCTTAAAGAACCTCCACACAATGTAAAGGTTCTATACCAATTAACAAGATACTACCTAGAACTGTATGTCCAGAACCATTAACAGAACCCTTATTGAGAAGAGTGGTAAAATGATTTTTTTGGCTCCCGAACAGGAATTGCAGCCCACTTTCTGGAATTCTGGAATTTGCCACAGTTTGTATGCACAGTTTATTGTCTTCCAAATTAATGCACAATTGCACTGATGCATATATGGCAATGTGTACCTTCTAGCTCTTCCTCCTGGCTGTGTGTAAGCTCTAAGTTGTGCCGCTGGGCCTGTTCCACCTGCTCCTTGTTCACCACCTCCCTCTGCTCCAGCTTCTTCTCCTGCTCCTTTGCTTGCTTATGAAGCTCACGGATATGAGCCAGCTGTTCCTCTCTCAGCTGGTCCTGCTGAAGTACATCATTGCCATTTCATCAGCTTTATCAAATAAATGCTGCTTTGACAATGTTAGCCAAATGGGTCAGATATATACACTATATGTCCAAAAATTCAACATGCAGATGCTCTTTACTCTATGTTTCCTATTCTACACATTCACTGCTCATACATCTTATACAATCTCCATAGAAAAGCACTGGATTTGAACGAGGTGCTCTGGGGGTCACACATCAGCCTAAGGTAAACACGCCCAATGCCAAGCGTCAGCTAGAGGGGTATAAAGCCAAGTGGAACTACGTTCTTTGAAATAATGGAGCTCCAATCAGTTGGAGCAGCGTTGTAGCAACTTATAATGCAAATACTGCCCATAATGTCGTAACTCATAATCTAATAAACTGCTGACAATGTAATAAAATCCAATAACATTTTTGCACATTATTTAATAAGGTACTACATTATATGCTGTTTATTACATTATAAATTGAATGGCAAAAATGTAAGCATAATGGAATATGGTCACAGAATAATGTAATAACACATTAACGCACCTGAACACTCATATCAGATCATTCAAAGCACCATATTTCCATCAGTACTTAAATATTCAATCAGCATAAAATCAGAATCAGCCACACTAACTACTGCTGATGTAATTTTGTTAAAATGACTACGCTAAAAAGTTGTGGCTGTTAAGTATTTTCTAAAAAAGGAATTGTTATTATGTTTTTCTTCCTAAAAAAGTGGTGTAATAAAGGAATCAAAATATGACTTAAGTGAACCAAAACACACTTGAATTATTACAGCAGGTGATCAAGTGTGTTATTAGGCTACATTATGCTGTGACATATTATTCTTAATGTTTTTGCTTCTCAGTTTATAATGTAATAAACAACATACATGCCACATTATTAAGCTATTGGATGAGGATTTTATTACTTTCCAGCTGTTTAATACATACATGATGAGTTTTTATAACATGTGTGTCATTATATTCTGCATTGTTATTACATTACGCACTGCTATAGGGGACTCCTTATTAAAGGGGAATTTCACTGATCTTTCAAAATTTCTAAATTATTCAGTGACTAAGATGTAAATAAGGTCATTCAGAGTGGTTTGATGTGAAATGTTTAACTGTAGAGAAACTTGCCAACCAACATTTCTTTACAGTGGTAGTGATAGGAACCAGGCGTTGCAATGTTTACAATGTAAATATAGATATTTTATTTATTATCCAAACCCCCCAGTGAACCTACATGTCCTCTGAGTTCATACATGTCATGTTAGTAATGGTAAAGTAGTAAATTGGAAGGTTTCTTTTAGGACTAAGTTATTTTGCCCTGCATGTATCTCTCCGCCATGAATGACTTAGGAACGGGCAGCGTATTCAGAACCACTTCGTGTAATAACTTTATATAAGGGACCTTTTAGAGGTGGACGTCTGGTTCCTACCACCACCACTGTGAACACTCCTGTTGGTCAGTTTCTCTAGAAAGGAGCATTTCACATCAAACGTTGTATGGATGACACTGTTCACATCTTAATGATGCAGTACTGTTGAAAATTTGGTTGAATTCCCCTTTAATACCCTTAAGTTCAGAAGAAGCGATTCAGGAACAGGTGTCTACAAACTTTTGGACATACAGTGTATAAGGATGTAGCACAGCTACTTGTAAATGTCACTGTTTGTCTGCAGTCTTACCAGCTCAGTGAGTTTCTGGTTCTTGGCTTCCAGCTCACTTATTTCATTGTTGAATTCTTCAATTTCTTTGCCTTTGACTTGAATTCTGTTTGAGACACAGCAGAGAGGAGCACAATCGCCTTACAAGGTTTTGAACGATTTACATGAATATAGAATCTATTGAGTGAGTTAACTTACTGAAACTGGATAAAGGCCTCTGCTAGAGTAGTTCTGTCTTCATTTCTTCTCTTCTTGCTCATTTTCAGCGATGTTTTCCGAGAAAACTGGCTAACTAGCTGAATTTTGTGTAAAACATTAGCAAGCCAAAGCTCTAACTGTTACTTTTAAGGGTCACAAATTAACTCTACCAAACCGAAGAAGCTCTTTTGGTTTTACTATGCGCAAAAAAATCATTCATGTAGTCTAAAAAACTAAAAAATCACTCATCATTTCAGGTAATCTTGAAGTTTTCTTACTGAATCCTGCTGGAGCTCCTTCACTGTTTGACCGTTGTTTGTGATGCTTGAACGTGTACTTGCTGCCATGGAAACCGATGCAGCTGTACTTCCAGTAAATGATCGGCAGGGGGAGACATAAGCTGCGTCCTAATCCACATACTACTATACTACACATCCTACACTAATGAATGGACTTCTTCTGGTAGTGTACTGTTTTTGACGTACTATTTAGTATGGTGGTAGACACATTGGGTGTCTGGGGAAATTTTCTCTCATAATGAATGAGATGGAGAACCATGGAAAGCTGTTTTACCTTTTATTTTAGTTTCCTAAATAAGAAATTCAGTTTCTGTGTAGTGTTTCTAGCTGCAGCTCTCATCAACCACAGTGGAGACCTCACACTTTAAACTTAAACTGAACCAACAAACCTCCCTTACTGTATTACAGTGTAACTCCTCCTGTAGCATAATGCTTATTTGCACTACTGTAGAAGTACATTTTTACAAATGTCTGTATTACTCTGTAATATTCTGCATATAATAGTTTTTATAGTATATTTATAACACGTCTACTTGATGTGCATATGTGGATACATTCATATCTGCTTACATACAGATTTCCACACATCTTATATGTATCTCCTAAGCTCCTTTCACATTAGCTGTTATTTTTTATTATTAGTCTTTATTCTGTATTATATTTATTTTTTTCGTTTTCCCTTGGCTGTGTACTTGGTAATAGTTGTTAATGTGTACACGCACAAAGACAAATTCCTTGTATGTGTAACATACTTGGTGAAATAAAGCGACTCTTATTCTGATTCTGAAGTTAATTCTGACACTTAGAAATTGTAATGATTACTATCACAGTATTTTCATTGATCTTTTACACATGACTAGTACAAATTAAAAAAGTAAAGAATTTAATAAGAATTACATGTCAAAATGTAATTTTCAGTTGTGAAATCCTTCCATTAAAATGAATTGAAAAAAGCCTAGCAAGAGCTGAAATCTTCCATTTCATCATTTTTCACAGCTGTGTTAACATTTTACTACAGGGAAAAATCTTTGTTGATGTTGCCGACATGCTTCATCACCCTGCTGTTGCAGATGTCCTTAAACACTGGCAGACTAAATCCAATGATCCTCTCCAAAAATAGGTTAAATAATCTTACAATATTCTTACAGCAATTGTAAAATGAAAAATATTGGATATACTGACTGCTTTAAGATTATTTCATTTTTATTCAATGTAGATGGCTACACAACTCAGGAGCCCAGAGCCTCAACTTATTTAAAAATGTTCATCCAGAATTACTAAACCCACCCCTGCTTAAATCAGCACTCAGTAATAGTAATAGACCACTGTAGTCATGCCGTCATTCTGTAGTCGGCGCCATGTTCTTATGCCCATATTAGGAACTCCGGGTCTGAGCTCTATTTCTCTATGGCCAGAATGAATAGGGTTTTCGAAAAATTGCCTCTATTAAATAAAAATGTCCAGAACCCAATACGTTTTTGTCCTCTGAATTACGATGTCGTTAAAGAGTTGGAATGTGAATATTGTTACATGTGAGCTAAAGCTACTGCGCACTGAATTCATGTCATTAGACTGACAGTCTTCTTAAGCAGGTTTTGGCAGTAAACAGTTCCATGTTCAGACTGAGGGCAGATGAAAAGAAGTCAGAACAAAATCAGCAGGTTTCCCTGCAGTTCTCTGTTTTTCATCTGATGCTCACAGAAACACGGGAATGGGGCTGAAAGGCATGATATGAGGAGGTTTCTCTATTTCCACTTAACAGCTGAGTAAATTATTTTAGCTGATTCACCGAACTAACAGGTCAGTATTTTGTCTTGTTTGCTAATATTTGTGATAGCTAGTCACAGCTGCTGAACCATTTAAGGTGAGAACGCTGTAGCAGTGATGCCAACCAATCAGCACTCAGTAGCACCAACCAATCAGCACTCAGTAACAGTAATGCTAACCAATCAGCACTCAGTAGCAGCAATGCTAACCAAACAGCACTCAGTAGCAGTAATGCCAACCAATCAGCACTCAGTAGCAGTAATGCTAACCAAACAGTACTCAGTAGCAGTAATGCCAACCAATCAGCACTCAGTAGCAGTAATGCTAACCAAACAGCACTCAGTAACAGTAATGCCAACCAATCAGCACTCAGTAGCACCAACCAATCAGCACTCAGTAGCAGTAATGCCAACCAATCAGCACTCAGTAGCAGTAATGCTAACCAAACAGCACTCGGTAGCAGTAATGCCAACCAATCAGCACTCAGTAGCAGCAAGGCTAACCAAACAGCACTCAGTAGCAGCAATGCTAACCAAACAGCACTCAGTAGCAGTAATGCTACCCAAACAGCACTCAGTAGCAGCAATGCTAACCAATCAGCTCTCAGTAGCAGTAATCCCAGCATCCCACTGCCCAAAGCTCGTTTGCTATAGAAAAAATATATATATATACAGGGAAGTTTTCTGTTCTTTTCAGTTTAAAAACATCATCCTGCTTTCTAAAATTAAAGAAAAGTCCTGAAAAATTGGTTAGAAACTATTTGTAACGTTTCGTTTTTAGCCGTTGAGCTCTATTCACCCCCATTCATTTTGGACTCACACGCGGGCGCCCTCTGGCGTTTGTCAGTCATATAACGGGAGAAATAGGAATAGGAGAAACCGGGCTCTGGTGACAGCACAGGACTTTTATTTTGGAAAAAAAGTGCTCGCTGTGGCCTTCGTCGACAGTCTCCTAACGTCTCCGTGTTCACGGCGTTTGTTGCAGAGAAATCCTGTGTTCAGTCGCTGCTCGTCATCTGAAATAAACCAGCTGCGTTTTATATTTTTACACAGTTAATCGCGCAGCTGCAGGCGGTGAGGAGGCTGGAGCGGGTAAGTTAGGGAGTCAGAGAGGCGGCGCTGTCTAGATGTTGAGCTGGATCAGGTGTTAATACAGAAGGATCTTCAGTGCGTAAAGGTGCCGGGATGAGCTTCTTCAGTTTTGGTCAAAGTGCTGAAATCGACATAGTTTTGAATGACGCCGAGACGAGGAAGAAGGTGGAACACAAGACGGAAGATGGGAAAAAGGACAAATATTTTTTATTCTACGACGGAGAGACGGTGGCGGGGAAAGTCAACATAACGCTGAAGAACCCAGGCAAACGACTGGAGCACCAGGGAATCAAGATAGAGTTTATAGGACAGATCGGTGAGTAACATCTCGAAAGCAAGCCCTGATCACACTCACTCACGGTGTTAGGTAGGTTAGGTTTGAACAGTGTTAACGTTCACACACACACACACACACACACACACACGACTACAGAGAGCAGCTCAGATCTGCCTGTGTTTATTTGGTAATGACGCAAGCAAGAATCATTGGCTTATCAGTTGACTTATTTACTGCCTTCTGGATGCAGAGGGAGGATCAGAGATATTTATTTAGAGATTTCATTCATTTACATGATTTCAACATCCCTGTTGATCTAGTCCCGTGACACATGTGACATCCGGTGGAGAAAGAGAGCTTTTATCTGGTGCCCTTTGGCCCTGTAGCACGTGACGAGTGCAGCTTCCCTCAGTGGAGCTGCAAACACTCCATGCATACTTATGTATGCACACACACACACACACACACACACACACACACACACACACACACACTCCAGGGCTGTCATGATACACATAGTTCAGGCTGATGTTGTGCTCACGATTCCGTGTGATTTTTTGATGCTGTTTGTGTTAAAGATGTCTTGGTTTAACGCAGCTCTAATTAAATAGCCTCCTCATCCCAAACGTCCAGCACACTCAAGGCATTCTTGCTCTATTGGAGCAGGTGGGTCACCAAACTCACTATTATGTGTTCCTGGAGAACTCATTCATTCTGTTGGTTGGTCAGTCAGTGGAATGTCTTCTTTGTTATCTTATCATAAACAAAAACAAACATGGAAGCTGTTGAGAGATTCACTCACTGCCTCCAAGACCAAATGGAGCACAGTTCCTGAACTGTCCTGTATTTGTTTCAGAAATGTTTTAATGTGTATGTTATTATAGAAGGAGCCTCTTGTAAGAGCTAAAGAGGAAATAGTAGATAGTTATTTCTACATATACACACTTTTTAGATAAAGTTTAATGTCCAGTATTCTGGGTGTAGTAAGTGATGCTTTGATTAGTATAATAGACTCCTGCATTACAAAACTTTAGTTTATTTTGTTAGTAGAATTTTATGTGTATTTAGGAGTGGCAGTAGATGACGTTCTATGATTTTGGGGACAATATTGTTTTTTTGTGTGAGATTTAAATGGATTTTTACTGTCCAGTACACTGTACATTGGAATTAGGTACAATAAATCGTCAAGATTTACATTTGCAGATGTTAATTCTGAAACACAGAAGTGTTATATCTGTCTATGACACTGGGCTGGCAAATAAAACATATGTAATGTGTAATATTAGATATAAATCTGTGTAATCTGAAATGTAGTTTATTAAATGTTTTGTGACTTTTGTTCATAAATGTACTTGTTTGTTTCAACCATGTGTTCACTTTAGATATAGTAATGTAAATGAGTGTATATGCTTTGTGTCTAAAAGCTTTGTTTATTATGATGTAAAAATTGTGAAAATGATTTAATATTTTAAAGCTGAAGTCCAAGTAGTTTCAAGAGTTCAGAAACTTTTTCTTGTAACTATTCACACAGTAAATACAGAAACAGTTTGGTGTTTGCTTTGTTTCTTCTTGTGTTGGTGATAATAATAATGTTAATTTTTCAAAAACTCCCACATGCATACGCCTAAGTCCAAATGTCCACTGAATGTGTTTCCCAGCTTAAAAATCATGCATTATATTAATTAGTATGCAGCAGAGAACAAGTTTCATAACCTGTTCATAACCTTTTTAAAGTGTCCAGTCTTGGGACTGAGGAGGTTTGACTGCTTGCCGTAGTTTTCCCCATCATAACATTATAAGAGAAGACTCAGTTACCTTGGCGAAGAGATGGAGCACGAAGTAAATGGCGATTACTTTTCAATGTGCCGTCCTGGAAATACTGTTGATTTGCTGAAGTCAGTGACGTTGTTCAG